AAAAAGTTTTTTTTTCAATGAAAGATGATGTCTCAAAACCGCCAAACTCACTGGTTTGACTGGAATCCTGCTGCTGCACAATTTTAACGTGTTTTAATATGGGGTTATGATCGAGAATAAGCTTTATGTGGCCTCTCTGGACTCCCATATATTTGCACTAAGTTTAGTCGGGCACCATTTGCAGTCATCAGCCGACATTTGAAGCCAAAAAAAAACAGGTAAAAAAAAAAAAAAAAAGCCGCGTCGCCGCACCACTTTTTGGGCAAGCTCCATACCAGAAACCGGAGACTTTTTTTTTGGCCTTATACTTATAGTTCTCTAAATATTTTTTTCAGTAAGGCTGTGGTGTTGTGGCTTATTTGAAGTGTAATTGAACTCTTCACCTATTGTTTCTTCAGCAGGCACTAGCTCGCCACAGGCAGTTTTAACCACAGTGGGATGCAAAGTCATTGGAGGTCACATATTGAATATGTTTGGCACGTTAGATATTGTTATGTTATGCTATATAGCATAAACTCTTGGGTTTTTAATGCCTCATTATTATGAACGTGTAGTGGAAAAGTTGTTGAACATATTTTAAAGGAGACTATCAACTACATGTATGATTGAGTTGTTAACGTTCGTTTTCTGTTCTTTTTTGGGGGGGAGGGACATAGGTCCCTGGTAAACATCATCACGGTGATGGAGAGGGAATTCTCCGCATTGTACCGGTACATGTAAGGCTAGTCACATAAATTGTCATTCTGCTGTCCTCACAGCGTCTTCGGTCCCCATAGTACCATGGGACAACTCTTGTGTCCCTACAACTACGGAACGAGTATGTGTGTTTCCCGAGCTCAGCCAACTGCAGCTTTTACTAGTGTTTCTATGCCATTAACAGACGTGAACCCTGTTTACAATAATAGCTGGGACATTGCATCAACTGGGTTAGAATACAACAAAAATGTGAAATACATGTAGTGGCCAGGCTACAACTAGGTAAAAATCAATGTGAAATTAGGAGATTTTAAATCCTGAAATATTTCCAGAAATCTTAAGAGGTAATATTGTAGAGTGGAAATGTGATGTACATGTAGAAACGTAAATATAATTTTCCTTAAGCATTAGAAGCAATTTGTAACTGTACTATGCATGATACCCAAGAATGGAATCAGGTCTTTCCACTGCTGTGACCCGGGTTCGATCGAAACCCGCCACAGCCAATATGCGGACTGGGTTTTCAGTCCCTACCTGATTCTGTGGGTTTGCCCTAGAATGTCTTTCTGGGGTTTTCCTCCCACCACTAAAACTGCAATTTCCTTCTTTATCTATCTTCTACCAAGGGACCCCACTGGAAATATTAAGTCGAAAGACTTTTGTGGGCTGTCTCGACCACCTGCCAAATAATATAATAACAAACAAACATGACAAACAACAGAAAGTCCCTATACAACTCGGTCCTAATTTTGCCTGATAATACAAAACTTCCCCATAATGCAGTGATGGCCAACCCATAAGTAACTCTTCAGTGTGAACAGTAAAAATAGTGAGGAGGCGGGGAATGAAACAAGGAGGAGGCGGGGGCAAGTAGATTGATGACAGCAGCCCAGACTGACCTTAAACAAGCATATATATTCCCAATGTACGTGGGGGAACGACTACGGAATTGTTTTTCCGAGAATAGGGATGAGCTAACAGTAAGCTGACCATGTCTCATCAGCAGTCCATCTGCTGAGACAACAGACCGCTGTTTGGGATGTGGGCAGATAGAGCAGAAGTGGGATGTTATGATACGGCATAAGGGATGACTGGACTCAACGGGACCACCGATGCGTGACTGGAGGGGGATGAGGCCGCGGAGATGTATGATTTGTGCTTCACTGGTTCATCAGTACCGGTGTTGAAAGATTGATTAATCGGAGGTGGATTTGAAGGGGAGCGAGATGACATTTACACATCAGAGATTGTTGCAAATTTGGAGAAAAGTAGTATTTGCGCTGGCTGCTGGGAATACTGAATAGGATAGTAGGTTGTAACTGGTATTCTTGTAAATATAGGTTTTTCGAAGGAAAATTTCGGTTTCTTTTTCGTTAAAATACAATTTATTTCCAGGACACTATAAAGTATCCATAATTTCAGCTTTATCCTTTTCCTCTCATTTTTTTTTTTTTACATGTATCCAAGTAGAGGTTGATCAGGACACCGGCGGATGGGAGGGGAGGGGGGTGTAGTTAATTCTATCGTCATTGGTACTATATGTGCTCAAGATGCTCTCGGGTCTGACGCCCAAAAGGAGGACACCCTCCCCTCCCCCCTTGCAAAAATGTCTAGATTCGCACATGGATAGGGAGGAGAGTTGTATAGTTATTCAAATTGTTAACACATGTGCTATTCTTTGCAGTAGCATATCCAGGTTGTGGGTTCAGGGGACCTAAAAACAAAAACACGTGAAACGTCTCGGTGGGAATAAGTTGTGGGTCTGTCCCCCCCCCCCCCCTCCCTTTCTCATGGTTGATTGCATCAGGGATTCCGTACTCAAAAGAAATGCCCAAGACAGAATTTGACCTACCGGTACATGTGAAGTTGATCTGCATAATCTGTAATGTGTCATATACATGTGTGACAAACATCGTCAATTTTCTTCATTAGTTAAAGGGAAAATACAACATTTGCAAACATCAAAAAATAAAACTACCAAATCATTTTGAAATACTTTGCTGGACTGTTAGTGAATGACAGTGTAAAGCATCCTGTAAAACCATGGCACCTGGTATACTGTCATTTTCAAGAAAAGTGGTATTTTTGTATCAATTTCCAACGCTGATCGGCCGATCAGCGTTGGAAACAACTGGCTTTTTTTCAAATACTGGCCCCAATTGACCATCGCACTTGTTTGCAATCGATTACAAACCTATGAACGGGTACGAGCCAGCTAGACTGGTTCCCTGACCTTACAATTCCCCAATGTATGTAAACTGCTCTGTTTCTTCTTATATGGAGTCAGGGAACCAGACTACAGGAAAATGATCGTTTTTCTTGGTTTTTATAGCATTTTCGAACCCAAAACCTCAAAAAAGTCAGTGTAACTATATTTGCTATATATTTCCTATCCCCCAATTCCATCCATTTCTGAAAATTACAGCAAAAGCAAATGATGTATATTCCCTTTAAAGGGAATATACAACATTTGCAAACATCGAAAAACAAAACTACCAAATTTTTACGAAATACCTTACTAGGATGTTGGAAAATGACATTCTAAAGCATCCTGTAAAATGATGGCACCTGGTGTGCAGTCATTTTCAAGAAAAGTGATAATTTGTATAAATTTCCAACGCTGGTCGGCCGACCACTGTTGGAAACCTAACTATTTTTCAACTACTGCTCCAAATTTATCTTTTTTTTCAGTCCAAATTTTGTTTGCTATTGGTTACATGTTCATGAACGGTTGCAGGCCAGCTAGACTGGTTCCCTTACCTTACAATTTTCCGGCATCTATAAATTGATCCATTTCAGCTTTAGTGGAGTCAGGGAACCAGACTACTAGAATATTTTTGTTTTTCTTGGTTTTCCAGCATTTTCGAACACAAAACTTAAAACATGTCAGTGTAATATTAATTGTTCTATTATACTAACCCCTCAAATAGTTCATTTCTAAAAATTACAGCAAAAACCAATCATGTACTTTCCCTATAAGTACTAAAAACATTGTTTCGTGTACATGATGTCCAGAACAGTCCTTCATATAATTTGTCTCTTAAATTCCATTTCCACTCCTTAAATAGCTTCAGGCCTACACATGATTTTTTAATAATCTTTCTTTGTTGGTATTTTTTTACCAGTTGTATAAATTAACTGTTTTCCATGCATTTTTCAGATATTCTCATTTTTATCACTTTTAAAAAAAAATCCATCTTCTTTAGACCACATACGGTACTGTTTCCCCTTTGTTTTCGGATTTCGAGCCATTCCAAGAGAAATTCAAGTAGAATTGTTGTTTGTACATTTTAGTATGGCTTCTGAAAATGAACATGATGAAACAGTTTTAACATTTCTAGTTTTCTTTGGTAAGTTTGGCTTTACAAAATAACAGTGGACGGGATATTACAAATTGTGAACACACTAGTGTTTTTACAAATTGTAAACACAGTAAGTGTGGGTAAATAGATGGATATTGGATCTGACTGTAAAATTCTTTCCTGTGCACATTTTAGATTAGCAAAGAATTTCAGGAAAAAAAACAGCCAAAGCAGAGGCAGATTTAATTGGAAGTTGCTTAATGCTTTGATAGTCACACCCAATCCTCTGTGCCAAGCATTATGCCTCCACTGCCATGCCCCCATCAATTATTCACCATCATGATATCCGCATCAACGCTAGGCCAAAATACCTTCCCCAAAAAATCCACTTTAAAAAGATACAGCCGCATCATGCATGCATGCACGCACGAAGGCTTGGCTGGATAATACATGAAACTTTGTCACTTTTGCTCTGCGAGTCATCGTTTTTTGATGCCGTCACACTCCAGCGCTCCCACGCACCCATCAATATTAGAATGTGTATCCTGGCACAACATAAATCAGGCTGCATCAAAATTCAACCCGTCAGACATTCCGGCAATCAGTTTCCCATTTAAGTCGCCCTCATCTTGTGGCTTTCCCTCGCTGAAGCCGGTCGCTGACACACGGTCAAGGTGCCGGACAGGGTGTGGGGGAATGGGTTTCTTGAAAAATGGCCAAAATGTCCAAACTTGGCATATATTTTTTTTTGCTTTGCCGTTGATGATTAACCATTGATTGGCTTGCAAATGAGATTCAAGGCTGTACGCTGGAGTGAGCGCCAATTCCCGATTGAGTAGGCCTCGGTGTAATTACCAGTCAGGGCTCACGTTTTCTGTCTTCTCTCTCCCTCGGTCATTTCTCTCCCTGCTGCCGACCCGCGCCGTCACGATGTCGGACTCGGCCAACCTCTGCCTGCTGAATCACAACTCCGTCCATGCCGTCATGGCACCGGAACTACAGAAATGGAAGCCTTACTTTGAGAAAGTAAGTCTGACCACTGGAATATATGTGTGTTTCATGCCCTTTTGACGTGTTTTTACTTTCCTTTCTCTCCGGTATACTAGTATTATTTTATGATTGTTCATTTTTTTGGCCAATTAATTTAGGAAAGTTGCAGTTTTATCATTTGTTTTCCTTATTTCAATCTGCGTTAACAACTATAAAAACCAATCCGGTTTGTTCTTTATAAATCTAGTATCTATTTTACAAAATCTTCGGTTGTAACAATTTTTTTTTTATCGGTAGGCTCCTCCCATGCTCAAAAAATTATTTTCAGGAAATATCAGTTTTTGGATATATACTCACAATGTGTTAGTCCTCTCAAACTGTGAAGTGAACTGGACAGACATCACATGAAATGAATTGGAAAGACATTCACATGAATTGAATTGGAATAAATTGAAAATGAAATGAACTGGAATGGCAGTCACATGGGAGCTATAATGTTCACACATAGAGTACACCAACATAAGTCACTCAGTAAAGGATGATATGAAAAAAAAGTACCAGTGTTGCTGAAAACAGTTAAGTACTGGAAAACAGTTAAGTACTGGAAAACAGTTGTACTGTGAAACAGTTGTACTGAAAAACAGTTGTACTGGAAAACAGTTGTAGTAGAACACAGTCGTACTGCAACACAGTCATACTGGAAAACAGTTGTACTAGAAAACAGTTGTACTGGAACACAGTTGTACTAAAAACAGTTGCACTGCAAAACAGTTGTGTTGAAAACAGTTTACTAAAAACAGTTGTACTGCAAAACAGTTGTACTGAAAAACAGTCGTACTGGAAAACAGTTGTACTAGAAAACAGTTGTACTGGAAAACAGTTGTACTGAAAAACTAACATTTGGCAAGTTTGCATGTTATGTTTGTGCCAGTGTTTTGATTCAGAAGTGTTTTTCCAAAACGATAAATTGATACTCACTGTATTGCCCAATGAGTTCCGATTAAATTTGAAAAGAAAACTTTCAGTGTGCATTGAGCCATGTCTTGCTTGTAAATGAAGACCTGGGGGCTGCGCTTTAAACACGGACCGCGAGAAAGACGAATGGTCTTTACAGGTACTACAAGCAGAATAAATATTCATTAACTCATACGTTTCCCTGGCAACAAATGAGTAAAGCCTCACTTCTGACAATCAGCATCTGCTACTTGCTTTCCATCTTTCGAATGACGTCATTGATGAAAATGATTTATGTAATCTTGCCGTCAACAACAAGCCCCTCTTGGGCACGGGAACAGGAGACGATCAACAGGGAAAGGTCATCTCTGTATACTCTTTACATGGAGATATTCCGTCTTTTCTTTTTTTTTCTCTCTGGAAAAGTGATACCGTGACTTGAGCGTCAGTTCTTAAATACTGGATGACGGGAAAAGGTTAAATGGACTATTTGACATTAAAGACGTGTTAAGTTTGGCGTAGAGTGTATTCATGGGGAGTAAGTCAAAACTAATTTGCGTAATTTTCTGAAGGCTCAGTGTTTTTACCAACCCATGAAACTGGAAGCTCTTTGAATCTTTACCCATTTGTCCAGGTACCGTCCTGCCTACCGTATTACTTCCTGTACTGCCTGAAACCGCCTGAGCACTGTATGGTTTATGGATGCTTCAGGGAATAAATACAATGTAATACAATGTAGTAAAGGTGCTACAGTGTAATTGGTTAAAAGATACTTCAGAGATGCTGATGCAGCAGTAAAATATCTCTCATTTTTTAGTATACAGATATTTGCACACACTAAGTGCCTCCAAACAGGTGTTAAATAGTGAAATTCTCCCGAAACTTTCCACATCATCAAATATGCATAGGCCCTTGATGAGCTGCTTGCAGGATTCATTAAATCACCACCACACCTCTTTATCCTTGCTCGGCGCATCTTCAAGGTCGACAAGTTTCGTAAATGCAACATTTCCTCCTCCTTTCCCAGCCAGTGTTTTTTTTTTCCTTTCTCGTTTCCCGTTAGGCTGCCTGTGTGTGTATAATACTATATTGTGGGTCAGTCAGAAGAAGCGATTGGGTTACAGAACTCCATCAGGCAAGGTGCTAGTGTGGAAAGTGAGCCGCATGGTGTGGTTTGACTCAAGATGGATGACTGTTTGTCGACCGTAATGGCCACAAAGTGTAGTGTGCCAATCGGTTTCCTATAAGCCGTACAATTCTTTATTTATAAAATAATATACATTTGTTTATAAAATGTAGGAAAGAAATATGCATTCAGTTTTGTGATCCTTATCTGGGAGCCTTCAGATTCTGCATACTTATTCGTTTGATTAATCTTTTTTTTCTTTTTTTTAAACGACTGAGAAGAATTATTGATACTTTTTACTGGGTCTATGAGTCATTTTTCAAGAAGATGATAGCTGTGTGATAATTGAACAATCATTACATGTAATGCAAGTGGAGCCATGGGGATTTAGCCTCTGTTAATGAACCCAGTGCACGTACACAGCAACAAATAACGCCCGTCCCTGTCAAATATAATAATTGTCTGCTATGACTGTGTCAAACAGCAAATAATAATAATAATAATAATAACTTTATTTATTGATGTAGCCATGTCACCTCGGGGATGATTTGCAGTGGGCCGTCATTAAAAAATCAGTCTAAAAATACATTAAAAAATTTACAATACAGTATACATGTACATCAAATAAATAAAGATAAATAAATATACAGGAGGCTTGAAATGCAATAAAATACAAGGCTAAAAATTCAACACTCTCTGAGACCCAGACCAATCAAGACTCCCAGAACACACAGACCGGGAAGATGGAGAGACAAAAGAACAGAACACAAGAATCACAAATGATCCACTGATTTCAATATTACAAACTCCTTCAAGGAACGGGTTTCCTCAGAATAGGCCCACCGTAGATGGATACAATGCATTTCACCAAACTGCCCATTGACTACGTGTGCATGAACAATGATTGTGTTCATAGCCATAGGATGATTTGATTGTTGTTCTTGACAACTTTCCAGACATCGGGGTTCGACCTTATTAGCAGTAGTCCGCGCGCCAAATGCAAGTACAAACAGCGACGGACTAGTCAAAACCATCCTTAAGGGTGGCATGGGTGGCTTGTGCGTAAAGCGCCCGCCTCTCACCAAGGTGACAACGGTTCGAATCCTGGCCGCGGATCACATGTGAGTAGAGTTGTGCGTTGGTTCTCTCCTGTGCCATGAGGGTTTTTCTCCGGCCCCTCCGGTTTTCCTCCCTCCAGAAAAATCAAACACTTTCGATCTCAGGCTGTGCTCCGTGGTCATATATGGGTCGATGTGGCCGGCAGCCATTAGGCACCTTATACGTGCCAGCGGCCCGACCACGTTGTAGCCGCGTCCTTGGCAATTCAGCATACCAGCTGCAAGTAAGGATGATAAGCCTCCCAAATTATTATTATTATTATTATTATTCCTTAAGTAGTCTGTCTGGCAGTCATTGTTGTTTATGACATTCTGGTACAAAAATTTAAAAATTCTATTGCTGAAAAGTGCAAAACATTAATTGTGTAATTTATTAAAACATTAGAGTCATATCCATTGTGAGAGAAATCCTAGGGTTGCATGCATTAATTTGGTTGAAAATTTCTTTCATGCACTTCGATCTCACTCTTTGCCGAAAGCAATACACACATATGAAGTGTCCTCTCTTGGATCAGTCCTTAACCAGTTTGCGTCGGAGGCCTGTCTTTATACACAGGCACGGCTGAACGTCGAGCGTGCCTTGACTCGCCTCCGGGTGACGTCTAAACCTGCTAATCCCTTGTTTCTTTTTTACGCCAACAGAAAGTCTGTCACTGTGCATAGCCTATTTTTCTACAATTTACGCTTTAAGTGTTGCACACCCAGAGTGTTCAAAAGTATGAGGTTTCGGCAAGAAATATTGTACAAATACTGTTTAAATGAATTGCGAATCAGTAGTTGTGGCATTTTTTGGGGGCTGTAAGTTGGCTGGCGTTTGGCTGTAAGTTGGCTGCTATATTTTGCCTCTTTCGAAAATAAATTTTCGGCAAAAATAATCCCGTTGCGAACTGGTTAAGAGCCATTAGGGTCTTCAGGGATGATCTTATTAGGTGTACCATTTGTTGCACTTCACAACATTCAAAAATTCACCATAAAAGAGATGCTTGGGCATTAAGCAAGACACTCCCTAATAAATGCCAACGCCTTTGTGCAATGAGCAGCATTTAAGCTAAATACATCGTGTGCTTGGATACTGTAATTTCATTGGTTGAGAACTGCCACATGTCCAGTCTGTGAAAATGCATGTACAGTGGTTAACCTCATATACAATGCACGTTTTTGCACACACGTGACTTAGAACTGCAATGCGCAACTGCTCAGTCTCATGTCCGGCATGAAAGCCTGCATCATAACAAAGATCACACCGCACTGATTTAATTTATTTCTTGCATACATGTACCGGTAGTAAGTTTAGTTACAACCATTTATTATTTTGATGTATTATGGGCACAATATAACAAAATAATTGTTGACTGCTATGATGTGGGATATGCGGTTTTTAACTGTCTCTGGTGCTATGCGCCCCTCAGGCGTTATAAACCGCATATTCCACGTCTGCAGTCACCAGTCAAGTAGGCCTATGGAGTACCGAAGTGAATATGTCACGCGCACAAAATGTGTGTAAAAGATATTAGCGCGTGATTCAGCCCGAGAACCAGCACGCACCCGTACTCTTCGTTTGCGCTACACTTTCTGGTTCTAAATGACGTCACACTTTGGTACTCCATACTTAGTGTTCATGTAATGACTCATTTGTCCAAGGCTAACAAGCTCAGAGCTTAACGATTTCAAAGTCGCAATATTAGCAAACAAAGTCAAGGCTTATTCAGCAGACCATTCATTAACATTTGAAAGCAGATCATGTTGCAATCTTTTCAATACTGATTTATTCATAATCAAATTTGTTTGGCAGGGTTCATGCACCTGGGTCACAGCCAGTGACTAACATGCAGCTCAGATTTTTTTTCTCTTTCCTTTCTGAAGTTTGCATCATCGCCACGTTTTGGTCTGCTACCTCATTGCACATTCAGTGCATTATTTATATTCAATTATTCACATTTTTTTTTCCCTCCCTGGATTGAGTTCATTAATTCTGATTGATTCTGGCTATATTTACAAGTGGATGGAATACCTGGGTAATGGCAAAAAGAGCTTACATATTGATGACACAAAGACTTGTAACTTTTTGAGATACATGTATGAGGAAATGAGTGAAATGTCAATAATCTAAGTTTATATTGAATTGAATGGCAGGTCAATTCTTCAGAGTATTTTCTTCAAGTTTATCCCAAGTAAGCTAATAAAAAACGTTCTCTCAAGCTGTGAGAAAATGCCAAAATTGCTGTGCATATTGCCAAATGGAGGTTTTAAAATAATGATGTGCAAACCCGACCCGAAACCGACTTTGGGTCGGGTCGGTTTGTCCATCTTTTCAGTCGGGTTGGGTCGGTTTCGGTTTTGCATTTACATTTTCGGGTCGGGTCGGGTCAGTTTAGCCATCTTTTGAAAAAAATCGAAATAAACCGCAATAAACCGCAATAAACTGCAATAAACGGAAATAAACCGAAACAGTTGAGAAATTCAGGTGATGCAATATTATTGACAGTCACTGTGACCGCAGCCCATTGTGTGGTGTGGCCACTGAGCGCACTATCAAGTTCCCACGGTATTAATTTTTCCAGTCGGATCGGGACTGACAGTGAAATAGATAGATTGAAACAGTTTCCATGATACCACGTGGTGACCATGCGTTTGTTCAATAAGCGGAGTTACTCTCGATCAACCCACTGAGTATGACAGAGAGAGAGACGATTTGCAAAAGAATTCATGCCACGTGGGTAAGGGCAGGCATAAAAGAGTGATCACTTTGTCCAAGCCAGGTATTCAGTTTTTCTCGGTTTTTTTTCGGGTCGGGTCAGTTTTACCTTATTTTTTGTCGGGTCGGGTCGGTTTGAGGGAGTTAAGATCGGTTTCGGTTTCGGATTCGGTTTATATCTCTAATGTTTCAGATCGGTTTGGCCTGCTCGACCCGACCCGATGCACATCATTATTTTAAAAGCAAAATCGCGACCGATTGCAACCGATTGGAGGTTATAAAAGTAAAATCAAGATGCCGAGAGAAGCCAAATCGGGACGGACGGTTGAAATAGGTAACGGGACGAAACTTTTATTTTGCAATGCGCTATTTTCTAATGATTGCCCTTTTTTTCACAAGTGCCATATTTCCCAATCGCCCTTTTTCACAAGTGCAGTTGTTTACTTCTCGCAAAAGTAAATTGCAATTGTGCTGCCTTGAATAGTGCTACCTATTATCCGAAAGTTTCTGGTTTGAACAGCACCCCCATAGGTAGAAGGTGTCCAGGCCCACCCCCCCCCCCCCCCAACTTCTTTATTTTTTTTCAGGCTGGCTGTCCGGTGAAGAGACCCTGTCTTCCTTTCTGCACGGATGCCGAGCGCCCTATTCTTGCTACTGCAATTGGCAAACAAAACCCTGGTTATACGTACCTGCCAGTGGCTGGCAAATTTAGAAAGTGGTTGCTCTATCGGTGAAGGGCAAAACCTTCTATTAGAACCATACATTGAATTGTAATCATTTCCCTCTGCAGTTTGACGTGGACGGTAAGGGCAACATCAGCATGGAAGCCTTCCAGGTGATCCTGTACAAGCATGGACTGAAAGACGAGCTGGATCCTCACAAGCTGGAAGTCCTGGAAGCCACCATTGAGGACAACACTGGTGGACGGCTCAGCTACCAAGAATTCGTCAACATTGTAAGTACCTGGTGGTTAACATAGTACAGCTTTGTGGTTCAATTTGAGAGTGGTATGTGGTGGATGCTGATACAGTGAGTTATTTTACCAGTGGCGGGGGGGGGGGGGGGGAGTAAAAAATCAAGGGGGATGGAGAGGGGTAGCTACAGTCCATCTGATCAATACGCTGAACGTGTGCTCTGCACACAGCTCGCTTGCGCTAGGTGCATACATGTACGTATGCGGTCTTGGCTTAAACAGTTTCAGCAACTCCCCCACCTACTCCCCATGAAACATTTCTTGCTATGCCACTGATTTCAACCCCAGCAGCCAAGGAACATTTCTTAAAGTCACAGGCCCAATAGATTTTGGAATCAAAAAGTTGGAAAGAAAAATTTGTGATTTTCATAAAAATTGAAGGACAGATGGTCCCTCCCCCTATTCTTTTCACACACAGTCTGACCTCAGATCATGTCTGTTTGAAAGAGTAAATGTTGCGCCTGGCAGTGTCGCAGTCAAGTTCATCACCACTCACAATCTCCTCATGTCAGTCACAAATCACCCAGTCCAACTGTGACAAATTGGTGTTGTGTGCACACGATAGGATATTTCGCCAAAAGCTTGACTCTGTTTCAGAACAGTGATCGCTCTTCCATTTTCCGGTGGAGTTGAAAATCCGGAACCCTACTAAAGTCTGCACAGAGCAATATCATGAGACACCGTCACAGAAGCCTGATGAGATGAAAGACTCAAACGCGCCACAATCATCATGGTTGATTAACCCCAACTCTTTGGCCCACATCTCCTGAACTTTGCGATGCAAGACGAGGAGGCATTCCCACTTGGATACCATGATTTTTAATTCATGTTCGTCCTCGGGAGGACTGCAGTCCGACAAACATGCACATATACTCTGTTGTGTGCATTACAGACTGGAAACCCGGCATGATGAGTGCCAAAATAGGTTATTGATGATGAGAGAGGATTTAAATCAGTGATGCAGATAACATCTTAATTGTGTCATTAGTGAAAATCAAAAAGGAATTATTTGAACGGACAGCTTTTGACTGATTTTTGAGAGCCCAGTGGACAGGACACACTGTGTAATTGTCAAAAATGGGTCACACACCCTCAGTGCAAAACGAAACCATTTTTTTTTTTTTTATGTGACATCGCAATAAAGGCAGGCAATGAGTACACCACCATCTTTTCCTCAAAAAAACATTGGTTAAAGTGGTCAGAAATTGCGTCAGATCGCACCACAGAGCATCTAGAATCCAAAAAAAAAATTTGACCCACTTTTTGGGGAGACCCAAATTTTTTTTGGCCCCCCCCCCCCCAAAAATTGTGTTCTGGATCCGCCCTTGCCTCAATGTCATCTATACACTAGGCATGTGCATCAGAACCTGGTAGCTGAGTACCTGACCGCTGATGTCAGGAACCGGTTCCATATTATGGAAGCGAGTACCCATAATTAACTTAACATAGCGTATAGTTACCGGTACTACGTACACAATGAAGAAGAACGATTTGGAATATCATTTATTGGGAATTTTCAACGTAGTAACTTCTTAGACAATGAAAAGGAAAGGTTTTGAATGTCGTTTATTGGGAATTTTTGAAATGAAAATCAGGCTACAGGAAAAACGAAACAGATTCATGTTTATGACGCTTGTGAAAATGCAATTTACAAAAAACTGAACGTGTACACCGTAAAGCTAAAGAGGTCATTGTACACACAAGTTGTATTTTGCTGTGTTGATGCACCAATGTCGTGCAGACCTTATGAACAATGTGAACAGCAACTTTCAAGCTTTAAAATTTGGGGCTGGATTTTTTTAACGGTTACACCAGGTACCTGTGATTTTTTTTTTCAATCGGCTACCCGATTCCCGTACTATACCCACAAATGCACACGCCTACTGTACACATAAACCAGTTCACACTGCCCTAATTAACTGACCACACAGCACCATCTACAGTTTGTGCAGAGTTTTGAGTCTTAAATTTTTCCTCAAGACAAAATGTCTTCTCCTAGTACATTTATAAGGGAATAAATATGTGCTTGGCTGGTTTTAAACAAGTACGTTTAAAACTGGCTCAGGAGCCTGGACGCTGATAATGGCATGAGCCGAAGGGCCATCAGCATCCAGGGTCCTAGCCCGTTTTAAACGTACTTGTTTTAATACTGGCCGAGCACATATTTATTCCCATTCATAAGTAACTTTGAGTCAAAAAGTCAAACCAAGTCAAAAACTGTAAATTTCCAATGATTTTGTTCAACAGTTTTACATCCCTCTATCTATGTTATGGTATGTGCCTCTCGCGAGTAGTCGTAAATATCTCCTTATATGGAGATTGGCGCATGCCCGATGTGGCGCAGAACGCAGCGGTGGCGGTGTAGTGTGAATTTAGGACTTTCAAAATACAGACTCGTAGTATTGCACATGCCTAAGTAAAGATTGTGAACGTTCAACCAATAAAAGGTAAAAGGGACCAGATTTCATAGAAGTCCAAATTTCATGTGACGCCTGAAAAGTGTTGAAAACAAGCCAACCGGTGATTTATCAACCGTTTAAAACCATCCACTTGACAGTCTCTAGACCAATACGAGTGGGCAAACTTTCTTAGGTATCTATGAATAATCTCTTTACGCAACCTCTCTATTTTTTGCAATTCACAATTATTTAGGAAAAAAAAAATCAGTCAGTGCACGTTCCATTTGCTTGTAACACAGATGAGTGACAAGAGAACCCTGAGTTTCTCCATTGCCGTCCGCACCCGTGGTGAGCACTACGACACAGAGAGCACCCTCCAGCTGACTGCCGTCAAGCCTCCCTACCGTGAGAGGTTCCTCAAGCTGGTGGCCGATGAGGTTCTGACCAATGAAGAGCACAGGAGAAACTTCCTCAGCAACTTCCTCTGGTGTCTTCCTCCTCTAGTCATGCTGTCTGTCAGCTGCATTGAGGTGAGAGATGGGGTTCCACACTTCTGCTTTGGTCTCTTTTCCGGCAGGGAAATTTAAAAATGATAATGTGCTTTTGTTAAGGCATGTATCCATACGTATTGATGCTCAAGGCGCTACATCATTATATTACTCCTCATTGGGCCAATGAAACATTCCAAAGACTATCATGGCTCCCTTTAGGTATACAGCTCGATGCTGCAATTTCGGTGCAGAGCTGCTAAAATCAACATCAACAGTATCTCTGCCCTCACAGGTACCCATTTACTCCTGGGTGGGGAGCAGCAAGGAGTGGCAAAGTGTCTCGCCAAGGACACTCATCCCATCCTCAGGCTGGACTCGAACCCACAACCTGCAGAACTACCCGCAGACCATGTGCTCAAAGCCTCAGACTATGAGGCCATGGCACTCCACTGTCTGTTGAAATGAACCATTTAACTGCACAATATCAAGCAAAATTGTGGAAGGAAGTGTATGGGGTAATGTGCACATATGGTGAAATTGGACACAAAATCAGCCTTGGAATCCAGGACTAATCCTACTAAGTTAGAGTTGTCACATGCAAGGTGTCCACTTTGTTACAATGCACTCATATCACAAAGTTCATCTGAGTGAATCCCTTTTATTGAGAGAATTATGGTTAACACTGGCCTGGTCTTTTGAGTACCCGGCTTGTCTTAATCCAGGCATGCAACTTTTCCTCGGATCAGCTGATTTCCTCGTTTTTCACTTCACACTTATGCCATTCAAAACTGAAAAACACTGTACAAAAGTCTTTTAAAGATTGGAGGCTCCTCGTTTTTAGTTTCTTCCAAGTTGTATGCCTGCTTCATCAGAAAGGCTAAAATATCCCTCTAATTAAGGTTCAAAATCTAGAATTAATCTTAACAAAACACATGGCATTCTCAGGCATCATAAATGCATTCACGTACCGGTAGTACATGTACATTGTACATTGTACATGTAAGCAATTACAATGTATTTTCGGAATTGGATCCAAAGCCGCACAGATAAGGGTAGTATCTGATAAAAATAAAGCAACAATTAATTTCACAGAGATTCCTCTTGTCAGTTACAATTTATTCATTAGGTTAGGCAACGTGTTTGTCCTACTAATAATACAAGATGAATTTCAGTTAACAACAACAGACAAAAAAAAAATCGCCTTTGGGTGTTGTGTGAAAGTACAATTTTTGTGAATCCAGGCCAGTTCATACACGCAGTGACAAGGGTAGAGACACAACCCCTTTAAAGGGAATATACAACATTTGCAAACATCAAAAAATTAAACTACCAAATTATTTTGAAATACCTTACTGGACTGTTGGTGAATGACAGTGGAAAGCATCCTGTAAAATCATGGCACCTGGTGTGCTGACATTTTCAAGAAAAGTAGCATTTTTGTATCAACGCTGGTTGTCGGACCAGCGTTGGAAAAAAAACTGGCTTGTTTCAAATACTGCCCCCATTTTACCATATTTATTTTGTCTGAATTATATTTCCAATCGGTTACACACCTATGAACGGATACAAGCCAGCTAGACTGGTTCCCTGACGTTACAATTCCCTGACTTCTATAAATTGCACCATTTCAATTTAAGTGGGATCAGGAAACCAGACTACAAGAACATGAATGTTTTACTTGGTTTTTCCAGCATCTATGAACACAAAACTTCACACAAGTCAGTTTAACAATATTTGCTATAAAATACTAACTCCCCAAATCCATCCACTTCTGAAAATTGCAGCAAAAGCAAGTGTTGTACTGTATATTCCCTTTAATATATGTTCATGCTGTGAGTAGCAAACGTGTGAGAAACTGACACATTACCTATACAGACCAGCACAGCGAGGTGTGATATGCATGACTCGGAAAATCCTTTGGGAATATTGGACACAGTGTGCTACGATGACCACACACACTAAGAATAACATGGCGAAAAATCCGCTGCGTGCCCTTGTGTCAAAATGCATTGTGAAAAATCCTTATTCTGCATTCAAATCTAATATTTGCAAAGCTAAAAACAGATACTTGTTTGAATTTTGATTGCGATGTCTTCGTAATTTTCCCGCACAGGTTTCTGATTTTATGAGGCCCGTGTACAAACTTAGTAGAAAATGTAGGATTGCAGTGAACTTAAAATGGGACACATCACTATGAATGTAAAAACCATGACAAGTGCACTGCAAGAACGGTACAACCTTATATGAACCAATTAATTTTCACCGAGTATATACATTTTCAAAATTAACTTTGTTTGTGTTTTTTAGGTCTTTGTCAAAACTCAACCATGAGTGGCCTTGAATAAATAAAAAAGCACCTTTACAATTTACATGTACAATTTACAATTTACATGTACAATGTACACGTGTACATGTAGAAAGAGAAAAACTAAGCACCTTTACATAAATGTAGAGAGAATAGTTACCACTTAACCAGAAGTCACTAACAAAGGTTGTGCTGCTAGGTTTTTTGTCTTTTATCAAGTTTTCCCTGTATACCACAGAGCGATATGTGTATGTGCATGGGAATACTCAAGCATGTCTCTCACTAAAGTTTCCCTCGATCAAAGAAAAAAATCTTCAAAGAGGGTTACCCCTAACCATCATCTCAAACCTCACACATGGGCACTTGAGATTCTGATGTGTTCTTGGGCAAAGAAAAGGTGTGAAATGTGTCGGCCTCCAGGGAGCTTCGATAACCAGTTTGGAGCTTCAGAAATTATGAAATGTTTGCATTGCCAAGATTATGTTGTCCTTGTTAATGACTAAATGCTATTAGGTAAGATTAAAACAAATAAAATATTCTGTCTAGAGATTTGCTAATGGGGGAGAGAGAGCTGATATTGTTTTGATTGGTTTAACTATACTGACAAGAGGCTGATCAAAGGAAGTGAAAAACATAGCTTATTTGCCAAGTGATGGTGTACCGGTAGGTCATTAACCAGTTTGCGCCGGAGGCCGTGTATACACACAAATGTTTTGCGGTATTCGGAACGGATGACAGATAAACACGCAGGGAGTGGGGCCGGAAATATCTGTCAGCGACCCGCTCGCAGTGAGCGAGGCAGGAAATATGAGTGTGCTGCCGGACAGTGATGGCTTTAACCCGCCTGGCATGAGGTCCAGTGAAAAGTAATTGCATCTCTTTCCGTTCTTGTCAAAATAATCCCGGCGAGAACTGGTTAATAGACGAGGACTTGCTTCACGCAAATTTCAGTGCGAAGCGTATTCATTAGGGTTACGGTGAACGTCACAATGCAACTTCCATTGTTGACGTCAGGAAATTTGCTCCGATTTCACTTTTGCCTGAAGTATAAACCAGCCTTTATGAGAGAGACAGACAGACAGACAGACAGACAAACTAGTTGCAAGTTTTGAGAGTGAAGAAGTCCTGGATCCATTAATTAGAGCTGAGCCCTCTATGACACCAATTGCGAAATAAAAACAAACAGTCAGACGAGTCATACGTATGAATGTGCTGATAGAGTTTTGTTAAAATAAGATTGGATTATTGAGAGATATTCTCTGTAAGAAAAAGACACATTAAAAGATTGAAACTGAGATTGTTTTTGGAGAGTTGAGATGTCTGTCAAAATTGAAAGGACACTGGAACTACCGGTGGAGGCCCTTCCACACTTTCCAAAATCTCTGAATTTGGACCCGGGTCTAACATGGAGATTTCAGGAATCCCTTTCACCAATTAGTTCGCACTGGCAAAAATTCAACCCTGCTCTTTCACTGGTCCAGTGCTCTATCCGGGTAAAATCCGACCCTGCTTGGGACCAGTGTTGTAGTTGAGTCCATCACAAGTCCAGTCACAAGTCCTTTCATATTAAGTCAGTCACAAGGAATGCTTATGTAAAGCCTGGTTCAAACTCAGCGCAAAAGCGAACGTGAATTTGTGACGTCATGGCAAGTATTCGCGCTGCAAATTTGAAAAAGTTGAACATATTTCAACTCGGGCGAAATTCGCGGCGAACGTTTCATGACGTCGAATTCCCTTCGCATTCGCATGAAGTATGAACCGGGATTAAAATCAGTTCATTTGAATAGCTAGTGACTTGACTGGAAATTGAAGGACTTGTGATGGACTTGCAGGGACGTGTGATGGACTCGACTTCAACACTGGACCAGGGTTGAGAGGTTCTACCGGAAAAGAAAATCCTAAATCTACAGCAGACCGGGGGACAACCCAGCTGTTTAAGTGTGAAACATTATGCCTTGCCTATCCATGTCCGATAGGTCCTGGCTCCACCTATGTTGGACCCGGGTTGATTTTGACACAGGTAAAAGCCTGGTTTCCGTATCGACGTAAGAAACCCAGAGAGCAACGCAAGCAAGACCCAAATTGCAACGCAGACATATGGAAACATTTCATCCGGAAGTGTCATCGACAATTCAGTCAGACACAAACTACCTGGCAGACGATCATCAAAGTTGAACCCGGTCCAACTTTGCCAACGGTTCCGCGTACTGTCTGCGTACATGTAGTCTGCGTAAGTTTAACGTCGATATGGAAACCAAGCTTTAGCGAGACGGTAGTGTGGGAAGGCCTTTACGCACCTGCAACTCGGAAACTCTTACCAAGTTGGTGTGCATATACCGGTAGCTTTCCTAATAGCAGTAGAAATAGTTTGATATCTTACCATCCCAATATGCCATTGTTCTGCCTGTCTTCAGTAGCTAGGCTTCTACATTGGCATTGGAGTCAACATGACCCGTACTGATGCCGTCAACACCACCTTGGCCGACTTCTGGACGGGACCTGTGCCCAAGAGCAGCTGGATGATCTTTGATCCAGAGAAAAAGATCCAGTTCTGGAGATTTGCTACATATATTTTTGTACATGGAGGGTAAGTGGATTTTTTTTTTTTGAAGGGAGTGGGTGTTAACCTGTCAAGTGATAATTAACAATTGTTGACTGCTGTGATGTGGGATATGACGTTTTGAACACCCGAGGGGCGCTATGATGAGGGGCGCTATGACGCTATGACGTTTTAAACACCTTCAGGGCTATGCGCCCTGAAGGTGTTTAAAATGTCATATCCCACATCACAGCAGTCAACAATTGTTTTGTTATACCTCTGTCTTGGATTCTTTGGACTTTGAAAACACAAAAACAAACAACAGTAAACACAACAATCATGACAATCGAACATCAACTTGCATGCATGTCCCGTACCATTTTCGAAACAGCTTATCGTCTGCTAGTTCGCTGCTCCCACTCATGTGTGAAAACATGGTGAAAATAGCGTTGGTACCAACGATACAAGCGTTTCACACCATACGTACGTAATCATAGCACACTCCCTGTGGGATATCACGTGCGTGATATCCCACAGGGATAGTGTGCCATGACTTAACACGTGATCGTTCTAGGCCAATGAAAATACAGTATTCAAGACAGAGGTATAGCAATGATACCTATCATGCATGACTATCATGATTTACATACATGTCTGTCTAATCAGCATTTAAGAAATATTTTTCTGATGTTGTGGCTTTTTTGGTCCCCAGAAGTAAGGTCTTTGTGAAAAGTGGTGACAGGGCTAGGATCTCTTATACTCGATCCTCAAATAAAACAATTGCACAAGCCTCTCCTATCCGCTCCGTTCACAAGTAACTCCTCATCCGCAAAGAAAGTACAGTTGGGGGTGACCGAACGACGCCATCTTGCCTGACTGCAATATTTTGCTGCGAAACGCAGCCACTGCGTGTTCATAGTACAAGTCCCCTGGTGTACGTGCGTGACACAAAAGGAACGGTGTGCGCGCGTCAACCAGCGAAATGTATGTGTCCCGCCCATGGGACGTCGTTGCTAAGTAAAAGGGCGCCCTCTTTCGTTGGCCCACGGAGCCCATACAAGTGAATAAAATGAACCAGAGTAGCACAATTGGTATTAACATTTGTTTCTTTTTTTTTGGCTGTTTCTTGTACATTTTTTTAACCCTTTCTTTGATTTTTATTCTCAGCAGCCCATGATTGGCCCATCAGAGCTCACGTTTTTGTGAAGCTTGTTGCCTTTTCAGCTCATCTACCCTTTTGGTTATGTGTCTGATGTGGCTATTGTTTACATTTGCACTTTATAAAAAAAAAAAAAAACCAACAACATTGGGAGAGGAGGATCTTTTCAACCAAAGACAGCAGAGGGCGCTATTGCTCTTTTATTGACTTTTCCTCTCCATAAGAAAGACATCCAATCTGGGTTGCTCTTCAACTAAATAAAACATAAATATTGCTCATGCACTCTCGCTTTGCAGTTACATATCCAGGGGTGTGAAATCTCAGCTTTTTAGCTGATTTCAGCTTTTTTTGTTTTGGATTTCAGCTTTTTCCCCTCACTTGCTGTGTACAAATGTATAGGAGATTTCCAAAATTCAGCTTTTTTACACCTTTTTCAGCTGTTTTCAGCTATTTTTATCAGTGGTCACTCACACCCCTGATATCAGTTCTCCAAAAAACAAAATGGGCTATTTGTTTTGTTGATTATTTCAATCTACATGTAGTTATTCTCAATAATTTGTGGCCCACTAAGAGAGCGTACGCTATGGCACACCTTTGCCAGCAAGCAATACAAATCTTTTTGACATGACTCTCACAACACTTTTGTATTCTTTTTTTTCTTTTTTTCCAGCATTGAGCATCTTCTTTTTAACCTAGCTGTCCAACTTTTACTCGGCGTAGCCATGGAGATGGTTCATGGATCACGGAGAATAGGCGGTCTTTATATATCAGCGATAGCTGCAGGTAAGTTGCTTCACTGACCAAGGAAATTCAGGTCGTTGGAGTAGTAGCAGATTGTAGACTAATTCAGCGGCAGGCATTTTTCGAGGTGGCATTAGGCTTGCGCGAGTCGCTCGTAGGTAGTTCGCAGGCCCATTCAGGTTGGTGTAGCGGTACTCAGTTTCCTCACTAATAAAATTGGTTAAAGTGGTCAGATAATGCCTCAGCTCGCAATACAGAGCATCTTGAATCCGACATTTTCCAGTGCCCTAAAGCGGGCCCAAAGCCCATGCCATTAGGGCTTTGCACTTCGCGCACATTAGTTATGATCAAATTATGTGTCCCTCCCCCCCCCCCCCCCCCCCACCCCGCCACTTTTGAAAAGCGGTTATTCCCCTTGATTGACCCCCTCGGCAGTTTCTTAGCAAAGTTTTGTGTCAGTCACATGCAATATCAATCGCATCATAATTTTGCTGGTAACTTGATTTTGGTAAGCACATTTGGTTCTTACTGAGCAGATTTCTGTGCTTAGCGGCATGGTGCACTTCAACCTTTCCCTCCACTTTCCTCATGCAGTGTTGCCAAACCTCTTTGTTGACAAGCTTCAAATTCTCCCCATTAGATACTAGTACTTTTACCTTAACCCTAACTCCCCAGCCTAATTTACTAGGATTCATACCCATTCAGGCAAATGTCAACACCCACATGGGAAATTGTACACATACACTTGGACTTACTTTCTGGAGGTATACCAACCCCAGTGTAAAAGACCATCAGTTTAGGGGTACTGTTCCTATCCCAACAGATTTAAACAAATTAAAACCTGCTGTTGAACTTTGATGGGTTCAGTTCGGTTAGGGTTAATAATGCTTGCTGTTGAACCTTTGTGAACAATTTCATTGTCATGAAATTTAGTCCGAAATTCGAAAAAGGTGGCTTCCAGAAATTGTGCACAAAGGTGCACTTGACTAAATCTCAGAAAATCCCAAGTTAACATTGAAGAATTTCTTTAAAGATGAAAAATTCTGATAAATCTTTTCACATACCCAACAGGAACTTTGTAAGATTTTTTGTTTTAGTTTGGGTGTATTTTCAAAGTGTTCACTGCGCACTTTGAAAGAAAGTCGAAAAATTACGCTGAAATTTCTCTGCTTACTTCGGGTAGATAAACTCACTGATGTTTTTCGGACTGATGAAATTTCACTTACTTTGAAATTTCAGGTAAAAGGTTTGTTCCAGCAAGGTGCTAGAGTCCAAAAATCAAAGTACGCCACATAAGGGGCCGCGCCATCTTAGGGGACATCAAGAATAAATACGCACACAAGGAGGGAGGAAGGGGGTTGTTAACATTATATGCACGATGCGTACAGGTGTGGAGGGGGTGTCCAAGCCAATACGTACAGTACATACACACGGCGCTTATATTGAACTTTCTTTTTTGTACCGTTTCGTCCTTCATGTTGCAGGTTCCATGGGCTCCTCAGTCCTCGACAGGACAAGTTTTGTATGCGGGGCCTCAGCAGGCACATATGCTCTGTTGTCTGCACACCTTGCTAATGTTTTGTTGGTAAGTTGACTGCTTTCATCTCAACTACATCTTTTTTTCTCAAGGGATAGCATTTTAAAATATTTCCTTTGGGACTTCCAGAAGTCGGGGTCTCAAAAATTCCTGAATTTTTTTTTGTATGAAACTGCGTTTACTTGTGGGTTAAAAACAACTGCATCTCAAAAGAGACCAACCCCTATTTTGCAACTGTGTCCATATACTGTATGTTGTACGGGGTGGGCGGGCTGTCACCGCACTATGGGGAAGTTTTTTTGTTAGGCAAATTAGGACTGAGTAATGGGGACTTTCTGCTGCCCCCACAGCGTCTTCGGTCCCCATAGTACAATGGGACAACTCTTGTGTAGTCCCCACAACTACAGAACAAGTATGTGTGGACCCTTGTGTCAATAATAATCTCACAAGTGTACAGTTGGTAACAATTTAAAGAGTGTGTTCCAATGTGCTCTTCTATAAGTCGGTCAATTTCTCAAATATTCATACTGGACATAACAAATGCACAAAACTGTCTTAACTTCTTCTTTTTGTTCGTGCAAAAATTGAATTCTTCGATAATGCTGGGGATTTATTCAATTAACCCTTTATTGGACTATTCTTCCTTACAGAACTTTTCTGAGATGAAGATAGGAGCATTGCGATTTGGTGTAATTCTAGCATTAGGTAAGCACTTCATGATGAAAAAAAGTGTGTCATGGTCTGCGGGAAATTCTGCAGGTTGTGGGTTTCAAGTTCATGCAGCCTGCGGCTATGGTGCGTGTGCCCTTGGGCAAGGCACTTTGTCACTCATTGCTTCTCTCCACCCAGGAGTAAATGGGTACCTGTGAGTGTGAGGACAGAGATGGTTATTGTGGTTGATTTAAACTGCTTTGTGCCGAAATGGCAGCATCGAGCTGTATACTCCCCAGGGAGCTGAGATGGTATTTGGAATGTTTCATTGGCCCAATGAGCAGGGTGATAATGATGTAGCATTGCCATTATTATCAAACAGGTACTCATACCAGTGTTGTAGTATTCGTACTCCTAACTGGTACTCGAGTACTACTCGAGTACTTTTTTTGGAGTACTCGTACTCGTACTCGTACTCGAATGTCAAAGTACTCGTACTCGAAATGACAGTACTCGTGCTCGGGCGGCAAAGTACTCGTACTCGACATGTCGAAATTGTACTCGATCATCAAAGTACTCGTACTCGAATAGCAGTACTCGGGCGAAAATGGTATAGCTTGTCTTCATATACCACGGCCTTAATTTATCGATACTTTCAGTTTTAAATGGTTGGTTGGCTTGTGGAGAAATCGAAGTTTCCTGATTTTCATCTGTGCACGTTTGGACAAACACATTTAACAGCTAGCCGTGAGTGGGTCTGTAATGTACCGGTACTCTGACTGGGCCTGGGCCAGGGCCAATTACGCAACCATTTGCCATATGGCAGTATTCGGAAATACAAGCACTCGTACTCGTACTCGGAAGTACAGGACTCGAACTCGTACTCGTACTCGGAAGTACAGGACTCGAACTCGTACTCGTACTCGGAAGTACTCGTACTCGGAGACCTGTGCTTGTACTCGGAGACCTACAAGTACTCGTACTTGTACTCGTACTCGGCAACCTAAGTACTCGGTACTCGGAAAAAAGTACTCAACTACAACACTGACTCATACTCATGACAAAGTACTCGTACTCATTGGAAATGTACTCGATAACAACACTTTTGTCAGTGCATAGTGGTCTAACTCTTTTGTCACTCTGTTCATCCTGCAGTGAGTTTAGACTTTGGCCTGGCAGTCTACAGACGGTATTCCGGTCTCAAGACAGCGACGTCCTTCATCGCCCACCTGATGGGCATTGCAATCGGCCTGACCATCGGGCTATTCATTGTCCGGAACTATGACCAGCGACTCCACGAACGGCTAACGCTGTGGGTACTCACAGTTCTGTACATGGCTTTCGTCATGTTTGTCATATTCTGGAACATATTCTACAAGCCGGCCGTATAGCACCAGTTGATGTCACGACTTGCCTTCGAGGCTTCTTCCATCCTGGGTTTGTAAAACAAAATAACAAAATTGTATTCATAACAGTCCAGGGTGTTTTCCCAGAAGTTGATAGTTTGGTCAGCTTGGAGACCCTGGGATAGTTTTATTGTAGAAATAACTCATTTTGTAAACGTTGTCATGTCCAATGAGATTTTTTGCAGCTTTTGAGAAAAAAAAAACGAAAGGATTTTTCTTTTCTTTTTTGGTCAACGAAAGAAAGCATTTTAGATGTCTTGTATGGCATGTTAAATTTTGGTAAATTTGTGCTATTAATACTTTATGCTGTGTGCTGTTTATTGTTCTTGTTATGATGATATCAACCTTATCCTCATAAAAACACCAAATGATTTTGGAGGATCTGTAGGATTTACAAAAGCAGAGCGCATCCTCTTTACATTTGGGATTAATGGCTTAAAGTACAGTGAATGTGCTGTAGCCAGTGGCGTAAATCTTTGCCAGGGTGATGACCAAAATCCAAAAATGGCCCGGCCGTGGAAAATCGGAAAGGGGGGCCTGGGGCTGGACACCATATTACACTAGGGGGCGCTGTTCAGGATATACATGTATATGAACATGTATACTCGTGCTTACATCAAAACAGCGCATTTTAAAAGCTTTTGTACTTTGTTTCTCCACTTTTCAGAGCTATTGAATACATTTTGGTTGTTGGGATGATACCTTAAAATCCGGGTTTTTTTTCTTATTTCGAAAAAGTGGGGGGGGGGGGGAATGATTCAATAGCCCATCCCCCTGGTCTAAAAGTGGGGGGAGGGGTATATACCCCCATCCCCCAGGATTTACGCCCTGGCTGTAGCCTTATATGGAGGATTCTGGTGGGTCCTAGCAGTGAATTGAAAGAGACTTGGGATTCGTAAATGATAAAAGTCAATAATATTATACACAGAATCGGGCTGATCAAGTTAGATGGCATGCTGTACTGTATTTCCTTAACAGCTGAATGAAATTTCTTTTGCACTGGTTAATTTAAAAGTTTTGCTGAGCATTTGTTGCCCTCAAGCATAAGAATGTTGGGTTGGTGTTGAGAAAATTTGTTCTCAAAACATTTCTCAAGGATTTCTGGTTAGCTTTGAAATTATATTTTCAAGGTCTGCAGTTATGCAGTCACACCCATATACTGTGCACAATGTATGTGTGCAATAGAACAAATTATATGAACAAATCCTTGAGAGATCTTGAGGAAAGAATGTTGTATCCTGACGCCAATTTTTTTTTGGCCATCATGTATTACATGTATCTCAATAAAGGTCACTCGTTGCAAAAATGTTAAAAAGACATGTATATGGGACTTAGAAACTCAGAAACATTTCTTCCAATTTTGTTAGAAAATGCATTCAACTCTCCGTAGTCTTTGTACACAACCAAGGAAGTGACGTCTGGATGCAACAATCTTTCCCATCTTGAAACAACATCGTCAACTTGAACAGCTATTCACATTTTTACTTGCCATTTAAAGTATACATGTTTGAACTGAACTGCATTGTCATTTTTTGGATGGCTTCAGTTTCAAATTAAATTTGGGGCTTCAAACCTGCGTTATTCGCGTTGAGCGTGTTGTTTGTGTGCAAGCTACCTTCAGTAAGAAAATTCAGCACTTTGAAGCAGAAATTAAAGTTATCTTAGTACCACTGGTGTGAATTGCTGGCAGGCTTTGGTTCTAGAAGCACTCTGTAGATCGTCTTCAAAACCTCTGTAACAATTGTCTTTGGGTGGCCAGACACACCAGCGAGCAGTATACATTTGATACAAGTATTAATTTGATTTTCAAAGGAGTGAAATGAAGTGGGCCTGTTGGAGAGGAAAAGTAAGAGATGAACAGGAATATCATTAATAAGCAACAATGCAATATAAAATGAAAGTCTAACAAAACAAGTCATGTGTGCTTAATTGATTTTGCAGGTGGCATAAATCATAAACTCTACACAGTGCCCATATGTTATTTATTGTGTACCTGTACATAAAGGTTTGGCGCTGGCCACCACAGAGTAGAAGTGGTAGATGGACCTGCCATTGTAACTTGAAATAATATTGAGTCCTCCCTGGTGGAGAGTTGTTTTTATAAAGTAATGCTGAATTTGTAAGTAAATGAAACTAGGATTGATTTACAAAATTGTGTAATAAGAAAAATGTGTCATATGTAAGTGAAGGTAATTGATTTTTAAGGGGAAAGGGTGGCATTGACATTGATGTTCAAAAGTCATATACATGGTTGTGAAATATGTATTTATAAAAGATTAAGCATGCAGGTGCATAGAAGTGGCTCTGCCTTTCACATGCTAAACATGTTGAGCCTCCTCAAAAAATATTGAAAGACGTAACAGTGTACAATTTTATAGATACGGTTTTGTAAAAAAAACCTGAATAATGATTATAATAATTACAAATAAAAGCAATTAACTAAAACATAAATGTAATAGTTATAGAAATGGGTTTATGTGAAGAAGCACTGGAGAGTAATTATTCATGAATTCATAAAATCGAGATATTGTTGATAGAAGATGTGAATCTGGCTCGTTAGTAAAAACATTGGCTAAACACTCAAGTTGCGTAAGCTTCCGGTTCCAGTGGTTCCAATGCTACTTAATGGCCAGTGGGCGTGGTTTAAACTGAAGTGACGTCACACTAAGGAACTGGATAACAAAGGCCGATCCATTAAACCCCACCCACTGCGCACGCTGGGCAACAGCACTTAACCTCTTCTGTGCCGCACTGCATGTTCCAGACGCGCGCGTCATAGTTTTGTGCACGCGTGTTAGACATTAATCACGGCTGTGATTGGTTAAAGCATCTTGGGCGGGGCTTAGTGGATCGGTCTAATATGCTGACAAACGAAAGGTGTTTTGGACCAAGCTGGTTGTGGTGGACGGTATGACTACCTCCTGCTTGAGTATACATGTAAATATCTGTGTTGAAACGGGACTGTGATTAAGATGTGTAGTACAGGTGTGGTTTGAGAATACTTGCTGATTAGCTACTTTTATGAGGTAGGGTTTAAGGTTTGGAGGGGAGGATGGATGGCCAGTTGTCAGTCTTCCAGTGGGTCAGCACCCTCCCCATGCCCTCCGCCCTGACATGAAGCCCCACTTGTATCTGGGGCTAATTTTCTTGGAGCTGCTAAAACAAACTAAGTGTCAGCCCGGTGTCATATGAAATTTGGGCTCCTGTGAAATCTGGTCTCTTTTACGTTGTAAGAATCTAACTCTTAACACGTGACCTGTCACTGTCCTGATTATCTTCACTTACAGGCATGCGCAATACAACCAAGGAATCCGTATTTTGTAGAATCCTAATTTCACAATACACCAGAACCTAGTTGGATATCCCAAAAGTCAATTAAAAGACAAAGTGTCTGTGAACTGGTCCCCAGCAAACCTTTCTTGGCAAGAAAAGTTGCAAGCCGGTATTCTCATCAGCTCCTTGAAGTTTGGCCTGGGCGGTATCTGCATGCACCATAAAGTGAGTACTTGCCTCCGAATTTGCGTCCGAGTAAAGTAAAACAAAATCAGGAAACTCGGGACATGTGTGGAGGAGGTTGAGAGGCATTCGAAGCATAGAAGATTGCAGCGATACAATTGTACTGACATCGTCGAATTGTATCGCATTGTAAAAACATGCAAATAATGTTTGTAATATATGTATGACATGGTACTAACGTAGAAAAAAGCAATTACAGTGCAATGAAAGAGGCTGGTTTCTCTGTTCATTGTCACTGAGTTTTTTAAGTTCTGAATGTTTTATTATATAAAAACAAACTGGTCATGTTTTAGTGTTTGATCTACAAAATTGAATGGTACCTTAGGGCGACACATTGTTGTAATTTATTCTACACTAGGGAGCACTGGTCATTAGGGAGACATTTTAGTGGCTCCGTATTGCTTCATCTATACCATTTGCGGACCGAATGCTGTCATCGTAAATTGTTTAAAAGGATTCCTTAGGCGACAATACTATTTTTAAAGTTGGGGGGGGGGGGGGTAACAAAAAGGTTATGGGAGGATTTTAGGTTTTGGCTGTGCACTAGTCTTTGAGAATATCTCCCTGGGGTACCATTCTCAGTAATGCGTATTGTCGTTGTAATGAATCAGTGAAATTACTGTAAAAAAAGCAAAATTGCTGTGTAATTAGTGGTGTATTCACCTGTCCAGCATTACGACAAAATCAACAAAAACAGTGGTATTACTTTTCAACCGATTTACTTAGAACTTCATATTTCACGAATTGTAATGATCCATTGATGAAAACATGGATGAAAACCAACCTCGTTCCCAGGGTGTCGAGCAGTACGCTCCCACCACTGCCTGCTCTCTCATCCTGGTATTGAATCATTTGCATATCCAAATTTTTTGAATACGTATGCAAATTAGGAATAGTCTGGTGCCTGCCTGTGCTTCACGTCAGCGTTTGTTTCGAGTGGTGTCTAGGGTAAAAACAGAATCAATTCGTCGCTTCGTGAGTTGCGAAAACAATCTTCATCCTGCCAATTTGCAGTACCGGTATCACATTTCATATTAATATGAGCAAATTGGAAAGGAGAGGGTTATTTTTGAGGTGTGGACGTATAATAATTACAATGAACTTAAAAACTCGTAATGCACGTTGGAAATAACAACACCAAGCTGCTGCTTGCGCTATCGAATCAGGATACAGGAAGCAAGTTCCCATCCTATGACTTACTATTGGAAACGAGGTTGAAAATAAAGTAAGCCCTGTGGACGAGGTTGGGATGAAAACATTTTCAAATTTGGACGGACAATGTCAGTTTTAAATCGAAGGGACACACAGACCCCCTCTCTCGTAGATATTTACCCTCCATTTTCTGTAATGTAGGCCCATACAGAAGTATTTTTTGGTGGTTTTATGTCAGCTTCCAAGTGCATAATGACATTTATTATAGGCCTATTTTGCATTGCCAATAGGTCTATTTTGTATTTAATTGAATAAACGATTACCTAAACTCCCATTAAACCCCGACCCATCCTTGGCCAGAAATTAAACAGAATGGGACCAAAGTAGATTGATTTTACATTAAACAAAAAAAATGAGATCAATTTAAGAAGTGGTTGTAAAAAAAAGTGTAAGAAAAACACATGCTTGTAATATGTAGTAAATTTGATTAGATGTGGAAAATTGTGTGCCATGTTGTTTAATATTTTTCAGGCAAGCAGGCAGCTTAGTATTTGTTATGTGCCAGTTTATATCCCCTTGTACATGTAACTGCAGTGTCTCGCCCTGTATGAAATTTTAAAAAGATTTTGTTACATACCTGTCCTCATCACATCATTTGGCACCTTGTTGCACTTTGAGAAACCATGTTACACATATACATAGGGATGTGTGTGAACTGTTTTCGTTTTGCTGAAAGAAAACACACCTTTTTTGTGATCCGTGGACAGAACTTGAAAACGGTGGTTGTGTTTAAAATTCCGTAGCTTGAAAAGTACATGAGTGATTGGAATGATTCTTGTACTAAAAGAAAGCTTATTAATTGGGCTTTCATATCTTAGATTTAGAAAGTGTTGCATGCATTTGGGTTTCCTTTTTTTTTTTACTCACCCTGTATCTCATTGCGTGACTTATTGTACTTATGAACTACGTCTGTTGTCTGGAGAGAAAAAAAACGAGCCCAGTATCATGGAGCCTGCCAAGCAGAGAAAAGGAGAGCAAACTTGCAAAATATTTGCTTTTCTGAACCTGTCATGACGAAAATGTACATCCCACTTCATTCGGACCTTGAACATGCTCAGTTAGCCAATTTAAAAAAAGCAATTTATTTTTTGGACCTGCGGTACTCAACTCTAAAGGTACATTCATGTGTCTAACACAACAAATCTCCCTCAGGCTTTTGGGTTCAGCCTGAGTCCTTAATTATTTATTTACAATTTAACTTGTTTTTAATATAATTTATGTATTTAAATTAATTAAGTATTTGCAGTTTAATACAGATTTATACATACATTGTTTTCAAAGATTTAATTTATTTCCACGGAATATTACTTTTTTTAGCCAAGCAAATCGTTTTTATCTTCCGAAAAAGTACGAACTGCATCCGCAGTTCCATGAAATTAGCTCCTGATGCATGAGGTATTTTATGAAACAAAGTCATGGTTTCTAGTCATTCTTGTTGCATGTTTTGGCACAAGTGCATGTTCTTCAAAGAAGTGAAGGTTTTTATCTTGTCTAAAATGTGATGAGGAAACGCCATCAGTTGATTTTATACAGTCCATTCATGATTATGTTCACCTTGGAGGAAACTGTGTCCAAATCTAAAACCTTCCGTTTGTGACTCCTTCCAAAAATAGAATTGTTGATAATAAAAACCCGCCAAGCAGCGGCCAGTTCTAGATGTAGACAAGTATTTTATTAACTTAGTTACTCTGATTTTTGTGTTCTCGATGTCCTCACGTTGCACCTGCCTTCCCTATAGACTTGTACACTGAAAAATTGCCTGGGTTAATTTTACCAAAAAAAGGGTGAAAACTGGAACTACCCAAACTTGGTTTGTTCTATAACCAATTGTTTGGGTTAAAATTTCTGCTAAACTCCAAAACTTGTGGTCATTCAAGACCAAATTTAATTTGGTCTTGTATATGACTACAACTTTTGGTTGAATTTAACATAAATCATAACCCAAACAATTGGTTATAGAACAACCCAAGTTTGGGTAGTTCCACTTTTCACCCTTTCTTTGGTAAAATTAACCCAGGCAATTTTTCAGTGTACGAAGGATGGCCTAGATATATTATGAACGGGCTAGGCGGAGAGTTTTCCCCTCCTAAAAAATAAGCCAGCGGGCATGCATTCGCTCTTTCTCCCATGCGCGCGCAAAATAGTTACATGTTAAAACATGTAACTATTTTGCGCGCGCATGGGAGAAAGATCAACTATTATGAACATAGATCAACTATTATGAACATTTAAAATGGCGCCAAATTTCCCACATATACTGCTCTGTATTCAGCACATTGTTGTTTGGGGTGACTTTGGTAACGCCGCAATGGCAAGTTATAACTATTCGGTTGAACCCCCGCCCCCCCCCCCCCCCGGATCCAGTACAATTAAAAGGGGCCAAATATGTTTTTGTAACCGAAAAAGAGGGTCAAAATATGTTCCGCCCCAAATATATTATGAAAAGCAAAAGGAGGGGGTGCAAATGTATTGCTTTTACTGTATTTGGGGGATTGAAATTCCACAACCACACTCTGCAAGTGAAGGGTTGCATTAAACAGTTTGTGAAAATATTGTCCCGCAAAATAGGTATTAAAATGATATAACAGACCCATTGCATTATAGAGCAACCCATCTCTGTTCATCTGTGATACAGACGGTTACACCCCCTATGTTCCGACACCCCGACACCTCCTATTCCTAACCCTAATACTAACATTATTGGGGGTGCTGTGTACCACAGCAGCTGTTCGTTTCTTGAAATGCATTTGTTCCAACTTCGGAGTTCGGACAATAAAAAAAATGTGTGTTTCCTGTCGCCTACTGCGTTCAGACTTAAGATCCTGTTTGTTCCAGTCAGTGTGGCATTTTACTCCCAGTACAATTCCACATTCCAGGTGTTCAAATTGTTGCATTCATTGCTGATTCGAACGTTCCACCACTACCCCGCTATCGCCTATTGTTTGAATCTTGAGCACGTGGAGCCAACCAATGGCAGAGCGCGCCTTTCACATACACAGGTGGTTGAGTTATTCCAAGCTCCGGAGTGGACGCAGGACAGGGAGTTAAAAAGCCCACGAGTTGAACGAGTGGTCGTCATTTCTGCTTCTTGCCAAGTCGTTGTGCGTGCTGCCTGTGGTCCAAGTTTTCAGCAACGTCCTCCGATCCTGTTCGTCACCGTTAGTCTTGCCGGTAAGCGGTGAATCTCAACTTGCTAACAGCTCTACACAAATTGATTAAATATTTTCGTTCATATTGAGAAGAAAAATGTGGACCTGCAATTCTCAAAAACTACATTTACTCAAATCCCGGAGTTCGGTAAAGTCTCGACTTTAATGTAAAGTACATTGATTTCGTTAGGAATCTCGCTTGGTCGTCCTACACTGTCCACTGCGTTTGAAGTTCTTGTACCTGCTCTGTACTAAAGGTTTGCTGACCTAATTTTCCTTCTATTTTGCAGCCTTCCTACCACCACCACCACCACCACCCCTACCAAAATGACGAAAGCATCCAGCCGCGGTGTGGGCGCCGGAGAGAAGAAAGCTGCCAAAGTGAAAACGCCCTCTGCAGCCATGGCTGGAGGCAAGAAGGAAACCCGCCGAAAGAAGAGACGAGAGTCCTACAACGTCTACATCTACAAAGTCTTGAAGCAGGTAAATATTGCACACGTTTTCTAATTTTTGCAACGGAAAGAATGTAGTATTCAGACGCCACTTAGTTGTGTCAAAGTCTATGGAGAGTTGAGTGCATTTTCAAAGTATTTTCAAACAAAATTGGAAATGTTTCTCTGTCCCATATTCATGTCTTTTCAACATTTTTGCAATGACTGACCTTCAATGAGATAATTATGATGAAAAAAAGTGGCGTCACGATGTAACACACCTTCCTTTGTAACTCGAAGCCGACCTCTTGTGTAAACCTATTTTCAGTGAACCTAAATTTTGCAATCCTAAAACGATGTGCTTATTTTTTAAAAGATGTTCAGTGCAACTTCACTGAACCCTCGCAAGTTCGTCGGATACTCCCTTATTTTTAAAGTGAAAATTAACATCTGACAAGCTTGTGGGCAAGAGAAATTTTCATTTTAGAATAGGCCGAAGTTTCACCGAGTTTCGAAGGGAATGATTCTTTACAGTGTCAATCTAACGGTTAAAGTAATTTTTTCCCATCTAAAATGATGCGTCCCAAATTTCAATCTTTTGGAAATTTAGTTTGCTTCCGGCCTTTGCTAACCGAGTTAACTTCAAAGATTTTCGATTTATACTAAACAATTTTTGTTGTTTAACTCCGCAGGTTCACCCAGATACGGGCATATCGAGTCGGGCCATCAGCATCATGAACAGCTTCGTCAACGACATCTTCGAGCGTATCGCCTCCGAGGCCTCGCGACTAGCTCAGTACAACAAGAAGTCCACCATCAGCAGCCGCGAGGTACAGACCGCTGTCCGTCTCCTCCTGCCTGGCGAGCTGGCCAAGCACGCCGTTAGCGAAGGCACCAAGGCGGTCACGAAGTACACTACTACTACCAGATGATTCTGACCAATCATTAACTATTTATGAACACTAATTTTATTGTACAGAAAAGTCGCTTGAGCACCAAGATTTTTCTTCTAAATGAAACTAAGTGAGTTGAAATCGAATATGACCAAAAAAGGTAGTAGTTAAAGAGCAATAAAAGCTTGTATTGTAAATAACTAAATGTAAATGTTAATTGTCCTGAGTTTTTGTTTTATAAAGTTTGAAATAAAGTGACCTATGCGAAATATATTTATGCTGTCCAATGGTTTTTCTTCACTGTCTGATCAGTGTGTGTTCGCGTCAGATTTCTTCTACATGCATTTATATTTAGCCTTTCGGGGTTGGGGTGTTCTATTTCGTTGTGGAGAAATGTTTGTATTCAACCAAAGCAAATAGCGCCCTCCTGTTGTGAATTGCCTTTCTACAAAAAAGCTATAATGCTCGGTATATTTCTATGAAATTGGGATACGATTGCTGGCCAGTTCTTAGAAACTCTTCAACATAATTGGAACCCGATCCATTTTTGGAGGGGATATATAAAGGGTTTCGATGGAATTGCACCCTATTGTGAAATTGTCCTCGTAGCTTTTCTCCCCGAACATATTTGTTTAATGGCTCGGAAACATAATGACGACGACCCGCCAGCGAATGTTTTTTTTATGGTTGTTGAACGTATGCGGGTGTATATAATGCCATTAATTACGCTTTGCTTCGAGCTCTCCGATGTGAGCTGGATAACGTTATGGTTTTGAGATTGGAGGGTGCGAGTTCAAAACCACATTTTTTCCAATTATTTTTTTTCTTTTCTAATTTGCGGCTTTGGGTGATTTCTTTTTAAAGGGAAACAAAGTCCGAATTTCATTAGTTTCGAAATCATTTCTTTTTAAGGAATGTAATGGCCACAACCTCATAGCGTACACCCCATTTGCTTATGTTTTTTGGGGGGAAAAATTCGCGACCCACCATGTAATGTGGGATGAGGGTATTGTTTTCATTGTCAACAAAGCGTGACGTCATTACACCTTATATGTCAATGACTTATTTGCAGTCGGCTGCGCAACTATCGATTTTTAGAAAAATTGATATCCAATTCAGGGCCAGCAAGGCAACATGTGTTTTCCGTCCTAGATATAATACCCAGGCAGTCAGTCATCTCTTTTGAGAAGGGAAAAATCCCAGAATTTCCATTGCTTCAGGCGAATTGCTTCCAATTATTGTTATCGAATATCCTATTGACACCGTTCGTGGTCAGAGAGTTGAACGGCTTTTCAAACCACGGTTTTTGGAATGTGGAAAAATCGGTCACCTGTCCTCTGATTTGTTTGAGGAATTTTTTACCGTATTCTATGAGCGCATCGATGTCTATTGTTGAGTGAGATTGTGATCTGTAGCCGCCACTTTTTCTCCACGGTAAGCGCTGATATGCTGGTCATATTCATGTACATGATAGTAGTGTATACGTTTCTGAAGGAGGATGCAAGTGCACTATACTATTATTCCTGAGAGTACGAGATCTTGGATAGCGGCAGGGATACTGAATTCATATGATAGGGAGTGCAGTCACTGCTGTAACAATCTAATACATGTAGAAGGTGAGTGACATATATCAGTTGCCATGATATGAGTGCACACTGCATTTATTGGTTTAATATAGGGTGCATGAACCTGTACGGATGCATGACTCGGTGAGAATGGGGCATCTGAGGCCAGTTATGGGCATGACCGATGAGGAGAATGAAATTGCCTTCTCAGTGACCGTTCATGCATAATCAAGGATGGTTCAGATATCGGGAGCTCACTGAAAAATTGCCTGTGTTAATTTTACCCAAGAAAGGGTGAAAACTGCAACTACCCAAAATTGGGTTGTCCTTATCCCAGTTGTTTGGGTTATAATTTCTGTTAAATCCAACCAAAACTTGTGGTCATACATAACTTTTGATTGAATTAAACAGAAATTATAACCCAAACAATTATAGAACAACCCAAGTTTGGGCAGTTGCAGTTTTCACCCTTTCTTGGGTAAAATTAACCACAGCAAGTTTTTTCAGTGAGGGGACACAACCTAAACTTTGACAAAAAAATTGAACACATATTAATTATTTACGGCTGAATTAGCTTGAATGCATGGGAGCCCGTCATTGTCACAAACATTCCCATCCTGTACTCCGCTGAATGTGAACGTTCTATTCAAGACAATATATTTATCGTCCCAGTATCCTCCCACTCCATACTAACCGCAAGATATTCGATACAGTACACGCGGTCATGCATGCATGTCATTAATATACGATAATATATGATACAATTTCGCTTCAGTGTGCATGTACTGGTACATGACGTACTGCGTATGGAGTATTATATCTAGAGGGATAATGCATACCTTTACTCCGGTAGCGACCTCACCTTTTGCCCCGGTACTAGCCCCTCCCTGCACCCCTGCTGTGACGACGTCATTGAACGTCAAGTTTTAAGTTCCACTGTCATGGATATATAGTATCGTTCTGTCGCATTGGTTTGTTTGTTTGTTTTGCCAATAATTTGATACTGAACCACTAGGCCTATACTTTTGTATTTGCTTTTAACTTGGTTCAGTTGTATGCTTATATCGCGTTAGATGAGATTGCGTAGCGGCCATTTTAGAGGGCATCTTTTGTTATTTGTGAATGCACAACAGATTCACTCAATGCATATCCCAGCAAAACAAAAGTATTGCCCTGTAAGATGGCTGCTTCGCATAAGGTCTATTGAAGACCAATATCCATTAAAAACAAGAAAACCATCTTCTTTTATGTTATAATGTGACCAGCGATAATCGTTAACAGCTATCATTACTACTTTATACTAAAATATTAATATCAATATGGCTACTATATAGCAAGGGATGCATCGCACATGTCGTGATCGCGAGCAATCATGTGTGATTTATTACAGAGTGACAATTCTAATTTAACAGCAGTAAATTGCATATATTTCTGGCTGAGAGAGTGCCGAGCTGTGCGCTGTGGCAGCGCACTTATGACGAGCGGACGTCACCTCGTCACGGTGTACAGCCGAAAGTGAACTGCATGCCCGCACGTTGCATGATACAAAACCTCCATTGAAAGTTGACAGGACAATATAACAATGCCTGAATCCTTTTGAAGGATTGAGGAATTGTATCCACCTGTCATTCGTCATTCATACATCGTTGCACTGTAATAACCATAATACACACGTACACCGTCGGACAACACTGAAGAAAATATATATTTTTTCTCGGTATGGAATAATACAACCGGCTAGCCTTGGGCTATCTGCAACATGATCTTATGTACCTTTAATAGTAGGCAAACGCGAAAATACATTGCGTATAGATACTGACACTAAACTTGACTATTAATGTGAGGGATCCCTGATATGAAATGATTAATTACCAATGAAACACTATTTGCCCTTCACGACATTACGTTGATTATAATCATAGATAAGGCTATCGGCAAACGAGTGGACTTCAGTTGCTGAGCATAAATGAAGAGAAGGAAGTAGATTCCCGCTTTGATCTGTACGATACCTTGCTTACAAAGGTATAGCACCACTTTGGAATTTGGACTAAAGACTTCAGGCGCCATGCAATACATGTACATCGATACCCTTTAATCTCAGTTAGCTATAAAAAGAATGTTGGGCCTAGTATCGTAATATTTTAACAATAACGGGCGTATTTTACTGGCGCTCCCCAATTTTAGTAATTAACTCGCGGAAGGCGGATCCTGCGCTGTAACCATCCCTGTCGTTCATAGGTAAAATCCCCTCCGCTCCTCGATTACGTAACATCTCACCTGATCAAGGACACTGGCATAACTTAGTCATAAACCAGTTTGTCGCGCGCTGGGCATGTTATTACGTTGCTATTCCTTGTTCCATAATAGCTCCATTATATTATGGTTCCATAGTTTGTGGAGGATCATTGATAAATAGGCCTATGGTCGTGACATGATCGTGGGCCGACCGAGTTGCTTAATAAGCAGGTATGGTGTTCATGGTCTTCGCCGGGTAAGTCTTCATCTTGAAATTGATGTATTGAGCTCATAATGGTACGTATAAGCGAATATAGGTTACGCATGCGACTTGGGAAAAGTTGCTTGTTGAATCACAATTTTGCGTGGTTAATTCAAGTGTTACAGTAGGGGCAATGTGCATTACACATCAAAATTGTTAATGTTGAGATGTCTGCCTATACCACACAAAATGGTGATATGTTGAATCATGGAGGAACATGGTTGAATGGATATTTTTCCGAGCCGCACACGTATCCCGTACGCGCACTATAATGGCCCTATTGAAATTAAATGTGCATGTGCGGGTATGTACATGTACATGTATGTACACTGTACATTCTGTTGGTAAGGCCAAAAAAAAAATAAGTCGGTCTCTGGTCAGCGCGCGCGTCGATTTTAATCATGCGCGTCGATCTTTTTTTTTTCTCCAAAATGTTCCGCGGTAGCTCCAACAGCGCCCTCTATTTCCGCACCTCCTCAATTTTTTTTTACCAAAGAGCACCAAGGAATGGGAAATTGCACCAAGGCAAATGATCGAAAGCACCAAGGCAAATTATGGAGGACACCAATATACAGGAGGACACCAAAAAAGCAAAATAGTACCCACCTTGTCTGTACAATCCAAGCTTGAAGAAAAAAAAAAAAAAGGAAAAAAAAAAAAAAAAAAAGCCGCGTGGCCGCGTCAATTCCGGAACTTTGGTCTGACCAGAGACCGAATATTTTTTTTTTTTGGCCTAACCCACGTGTCCAGTGTTTCTCTGTGTGCCCTGTAATTTTGATAGAGCCTATCGGTTGACCATCTACGATTAATCATGGAGGAATAATCAACACTGCACGTAGATAGTATTTACATGTTTCCTATACCTCCATGGTATTTACGAAGATTGTTCTTGTCTGCTGACTTGTGCACGTACGTCCTACGTGTTTCTCTTCAATAGTATGTGGTGTCATCCATTCGGTTGAAACTTAAGCCCTTGCGGCTGAGAAGGGTTTATTTGTCTCAATATTTACTGAATGTATTATGATATCGATTGTCATTCTTGCCATTCTTTGCTCGTCATCCCAATGCTTAACGTATATGCCCTTTCGGAAACTACCGTGATCGGGACATTTTTATCACCAAGACCATGTTTCCCTGTAGCACGGTGTTTGATAACAGTGGAGTCAAACCTGCCACTGTCAAATATTTCACTGAGATATTTCACAGAGATTATAAAAGGCCTATCATGACCAAAACTGGTGCTCGTAATGGAGAGTTCTTGCTCATTCCACATTTCTTGCGCATTCCACTGTGAGTGTGTTCTGGCAGTTTCTGTAGTTTTTCAGCTACAGTCTGTCAAACCATGGAGGAATAAGAACACATGAGCAACATTGTCAAGAAATATAGACCTTATGCGCGTAGCTGAGCCATCATAGAGGGCAATGCCTTTGTTTTCTGGGATATGCATGATTGAACCTTTAATTTGTCCATTCATTGTTACTGAGTTAAAATAACAAAAGATGCCCCCTAAAATGGCTGCTACGCTATTAGTATCTGATTTCGCTGCTCTTGATGACAGCATACAGTTACTGTCAACTCTGTGAATCGAATGCACATCTGAGCATGAGATCAGGACTTATCTACTGAATGGCATTTGTCTTGGGGAATAAGTATCCATCAAATAAGAATTTCACTATTGAGTTCTTCGATCTGTAGACACATATTGCATAAATGCATAGGCCTATGGAGTTTAATCGTATGTAAAATAATTATTCAATACGCTTGAAGAACTTCAATCCGATTGCACGGGATGAGGAATGGTAGATTACACTCGGAACTCAATCATCTCTGGACAGATTCACGGTAATCCTGATAAGAACACGAAGCGTAAAATGTGATAAGATGAAAATTATGCTTCGGTTTTGTCGTTGAAGTTTCGTTGGGCGTCTAGTGTTTGTAGAACGTACGGCAGCCCTCATTTTTGAGTGGCCTTATTGCAAAGAGTATCGGGTATCAGTATCGTAATGTCAAGTCTCGAATTCCACAAATTTCCCATTGTAGAGTTTTGTTTCCAACCGCATTTTCTAATGTCATTTTCAATTAGACATTTTTTTTTAAACGTGCATGAGCGCATTACAGCCAAATTAAGAAACCATCAAATCATATTAAATCAGTGGAAAAAAAGTAATTTTGGAAAAATTAATCCTTCTGCTTTGGGCAATGTTCCGTGCCTGAGCAGCAGTCTGTCCACGGGTACCCAACACTCCCAGCAGGCAGTATATAACATGCGATACTAATGAAGACCTAGATTGTGGCATTCGGTCATGAATTATGGAATCATTTGGCTCCGGAGTATACCGTAACACAAGTTCACATTCACCACCAAGCATACCGCCAGAGAGGGGTTAGTGAATTAATCAGGACGACAAGAGTCGTGCCTCGAATTTCCGCAGCTCAGCGGGTGTCAGTAAGCCAGGTCGCCCGGTAATATACTAAAATAGTCAGAACCGCGTCGTCACTCCTAAATTGACGAGACATCGATACACGGGAACATGAACATGATCATCCAAATGTCCTTTGGGAGAGAAAAAAAGGACATTGTGGGAGTGGAGTTTCTTTCAAAGTACAACTGGTTTAATTGAGGCGAGATGGTGGGCGTTTGGGGAAAAAAAGCAGGAATAGGTTGGTCTATTTGGCACAGTGGACTTTTTTGGCGGAAGGAGGAATGTCATTCTCCATGGTTGATGGTTGATTTGCTTATGATTGTTGCATTTTTTCACTGATTTTTTTTTTATGGAATACCTTTTAAAATCTGTGTGACTGTCTTAACTGACGTAATGCAACGTTGACTGTCCACTAACATAGTATCCTGACAGTATATAAATTTGTCATGTGTATTTGAAATTATGGTAGACGATTCATCGACATAAAGTCTTAAAGAGTAAAATGTCAAGTCACAAATTGGACTACTTGTCAAAGAGTTTATAAATCATTATACATTATTCATGTGCGATTTAGAACCATGCCATCTCTCTAACTGTAATTAATATTCTGGCAGAGACCAATCTGCCAAAACAAGCAGACGTCAAAGTCATACATCCTTCGCATAATGCTCATATCTTTGCATCACATTTAATAATAGCCACATTGATTGTGTTACCATGTCCTTTCTCGCTTCTCCGTTCACAGATGTTGCTACGATTAGTCTGAACATTCCCTCCGCCCACACGTGCCCGACAGGCCCAGGCTGCAGCAACTGAAGAGGCTCGAAAAGGGGAAAGGAAAACAACAGTGCCCGACAAGTGTATTCCGGTTGATCGGACGTGCATAATAAATCATGTTGTGGAAGTGACCGTGGCTTGTGGTGCATACCACGGCGTGGTAGAATGATTTGTGGGTTTTATCTTACGTCCGTCGATATAAACAGACGGGTTGGGAGTACACGTGGTGCTATGAACGTACATTGTACATGTACAGTAGATGCTAGACGGAACGAAAGTCACACGTAACCGCTGCATGAGCTATATCTGAGAGCAGCTGCGGTGATGCGAGGGTTTATCTGGTAAAGTTATCAGCAACGGATTATACTGACATGAATGCATCGGTGTCACCGCGCGGTGTATCTCCTTCAGCTGACAGAGATATTCTACAGCTTGTGATGGATCTGGGGCAGAGGGGACGTCTGTAGGAAAGGCAGGGACCATGCAGCTTCGCCCGTGGGTAGCCGACAACATGGAGACCGGGCTAGAAGTAGGAGATGGTGGCGACAACACGACTGGTGGTACTGTTTTGAATGACGCTGGCTGGGCATCGCCGGATGATGTGGCCGGAGTGTTTGACATACTCATGGAGTTGGATGTGTTCTTGGAGGACCAGGGAGGAAAGAGTGTCTTTGCTGAGGACAGGGATGTGATGATGGTGATAACCAAAGAGGAAGATGGACCCGAGGCGATGGTTCATGCATCAGAGATGGAGGGAGTTGAAGAGCAAGCGCATACTGATAGCACAAGTTATGTTACGGGTGCGTGCTTAGAATGCGTGGATGCGGATGTTGGGTCGGCACTTATGAACACTGTGAGGAACGGGCACGCGCCTTGTTTGCAGTGCATCATCAACAACTTCTCCTCGGTCAGTCAGATCAAGGAGCGCCTCAACCACTTCCACGACTTAACATCCCATTTATGCCCTCTACTGGAGGCGGTGGAGAGGGGACATGAGGACGTGGTGCACCTCTTCCTGAGGTTCCTTCGGGACTGCGAGTGCCTCCACGAGGCTCTCAAGTTGACCGACGGTAAGGGGAGGATGCCCGTGCACCTGGCAGCCCACCACGACCACCTCGGGTGTCTGGACCTCCTCTTGGAGTGCACACCAACAGACAGGTGTTATTGGAGGGACAAACAGACCCAGGGTACACCCCTGCATCACGCTGCAGCAGGAGGGGCCGTGAGGTGCTTGAGGCGTCTGCTAAAGGTGGAAGACCCGGAGGTTAAGACCCAAAGTGGTAGAACGGCAGGTATCTTACTTAAAATAAAAGCCAGTATTTTTAATGTTCCATCGGTTTTGATACTGAGCAAAGTACTTCTAAGTTGGTCTCAAATTGCTCTCTTATATCCAAAGAGTGAAACTATAGGGAGCTGTCCCGATGGAGAGAAAATCTCTCTAATTTAGACTTCAATGGTTTTTGAAAGAGAATCAATCCAGTGGAGACTCCAGTGGAAACTCGATTAAAAATAAATCGATTGACTGGGAGATTTCCACTCTAAATTATCTGGTTGTATAGTTTCAGTCAGATGAATTGAATTGTCACTCGAGTAGAGGGAATGAGTGCGTCACTTGACTCATTCAAAGTCTACCTATAATTACATGTCGTGTAATACGATCTGAGTTAGGTGATATCGTGAAGAAATTGTATTGTCAAATTCTGGTCATTTCATAGCGACCAATTATTGTTTGGTAACCGGAGACCCAGGAGAACTAATTTATGAAATTCAACTTCCCAACGAGTTGAAGTAATGAGTACTTTTCAATACTAAAGTAATGTCCATGTTTAACGACAAGATGGGCCTGGCACAGCTTGGGATTGTGTCGGAACAAATCCTTCACATGTTTTTCATTTCAAAACACCATTATAATGAGGCTACGAGGCTAAATATTTCTGGAAGGTCAGCCTGCAATAAATGGAGGTCAAGGAAAAAGTTATATCAACAAATGGAAAAGTTATACAAACACATCATATTCCGTACATTCACACAAGCAAATGTATCGAAGGTATTTTTCAACGATCATGTGGAGTTTCATTGGTGGAACATAAATGATGTGAATTGAAGTACTAAATTGTTGTATCGACAAACATAATGTTCCTATAGACGAATCCGGGCACGTGTTCACTGTACACGCATGTTATGGCCCCCTCAGTGGCGAAACCGTTGTGCATTCTGTTGCACAAAGCAATTGAACTGTTAACTAACACAATTCTTTCGCCATTGAAGGGGGCCTTTGTGATAGAATTGATAGCGTGCTCAGATTGATCTATAGAAGCATTTTTTTTGAGGGTGGAGGATACTAAACGTTCCACAGTGTGTCATTGTTTTCTGTGATAGATATCACAACTCGGACTCATTAGAACCACAACAATCGCAGTGGAAGTTGAGATCCTGAAAGGAAACGAATGCTAACCACAAAAGGAAAGCACAGCCATTTCCTTTACAATCAAGGGAAAATATCACCCTTGACCATGAACGATCAGGCTGCAGGATTTCCCATGAGAGATCTATTTGTGTATACTAATATACACAAACTGTCATAAATAGCCGTTTGTAATGTATAGGCTCTCGGTAGCAAAGACAACACGCGAGCGCGGTATTCATGTCAAAACAAAGCTTGATCTTTTGAGCTCTACCAGGTTTATCAATGATCTGTATCTATTTTAAAATCATGTAAATTATGCGAGACGCTCAATAGTCTTTTTCAGCCTTTGCTTGCATTGAAATGGACAAGACCAGAATTGGATTGGATTTGAAAGTATGCAAAATCACGAAAGTCTGCCCATGAGACCAAAACAACTGTATTATTATGGTAGAGGATACCTGGTGAATAATAAATGTTTTAGTGAGCTTCATTAAAAGGCATATGCGATTAAATTGGATGTTTTCGTAAGCCACTCAAAGAGTTATGCCTCACTCTAATAATAGTTGGCTATTTTGTACAACATATGCCAATGGGCCTACATGTACTTTGTCCGAGGTGTTTTTTTTAAACATACTGCAGTGGCGTAGCACCATCATTTTTTTTTTTTGATCTCCGGACACTTGGCCTCCATAAAATCAAAACACGGGGGCGATACATGGGACACAAAACGGCACATGCCACAAAAAGGGCACCTCTTCTACCCCCTCACCCCCCCCCCCCCTGCTGGCTACGCCTATGTAGGCCCTACTGTCTCAGTTTAAAGTTCGGAACTGAGCCGTCCAACGCTGTAATGACTGGGCTGTTAAAGTAACACCTTCGTTCAGTTTAAGCTCCGCATACACGCACACTGTTCATCTTTAATTCAAAGTGGCCGTCTATTACTGCATTAATGCAGTGCGGAGCTTTGTAAGTGGCATCCGCACAAGCCTCACTATGATCTGCACGGGCGCCGTATTTCAGATGCATTATAGCCTACATTATTTTATTCATGAGACGTGTCTTATAAGGGCCGTGCCGTATGGGGCAATATTCAGGTAACTTTATCCAGGCAAGATGTTAAAGATTTCTCTACCCGAGGATTTTTCACAAACGGTTCAGGACATGTACGTTGTTCTTCTTCCCGGGGTCCCTTTTCACTTCCAGTGTATTAAATTGCCTGTAAGTTTACTTTGACATGGCCTCAAATAGGACTTGCTCTTTAATGTAAAAAAAAAAAAAAGCACCATGATTAGGGCGAGGTATAGCCGTATACAGCGTGTCCCAAAAAAATGTCCCTCTCATAGACCACAGAATAATCACTAAAATAAAGTTTTATACTCAATTAAGTTTACATATTTAGAAAGCCCACTTTATTTTGTAGTTCCTGTGAAAATTTCTAAGGTCTCGCTTCATTGGTTTTGAATACACAGGCTTGTATGTAACAGCAGTGCTTTCTGGCCCATTCCAAGTTTGATAAAAGAAATGCACACTACAGACATAACATACCTTATTCCATGCTACACTTTTAATTCAACAACTGTGTTGTTGTTTTTGTTATTGAGTAACCATTCCTCCATGGAGTAACTAAAGTCAAGTTCATTTACTTGTTTAAATGAAAACTAATCAAAGTTCAGTTCCACTGGTCGTGTTTGCTTTCACAGGGTGTGTTCCACTTATGGTTTGTTCTTCAATGTCCAGCTTGTAAACCTTTATTGTCCCCCTGCACGTCCTTCCACCTGCAAACTTGGAATTGGCTGAAAAGCACTGCTGTTACATAATAGACTCTGTATTCAAAACCAATGAAGCGAGACCAATGAAATTTTCACAGAAGTTACAAAATTAAATGGGCTTTCTTAATCTGAACACTAAATTGAGAATAATACTTGATTTTGGAATTAATTAAGCAGTCTATCAGAGGGACTTTTTTTTGGGGACACGCTGTATAGGCCTCCAAAATGACGTAACTAGGGTTAAACTTCTGAGGGGGCGCCCTAGGGTTGCATACAGTTTTCCGAGGGGGCACTGAAGGCAAGTGGTATATATTTTTGTTCAATTCAAATTTGTAAATGGGAGGGGGGGGGGGGGGGGGGGGGGCACGTGCCCAAGCCTGCATGGGGGACTCTTGCTCAGTATAGGCCCATTTTCTGCTGTATAGGAGCATCACATAATACAAAGTGAGGCCCACTTTTTGCCATCTGTTTTGGGGACATAAACGGCTCTCAAATAAGTCTGTGACCATGGTAGAGCTCAAGCCAAAGGTGGATACGAAACTGAGGTATTAGAAAATACCAACACCACCACTCCCTCCCTCCACTGTCTCCTGCACTGTCGCCCTGCATAATAAAACAGAAAATACAATTGTACGCGTTTTGTTTGTCTTTAACAGTATCCCTAGCGGCGCAGGCAGGGAGTGTCAGCTGTTTAGAGGCGCTCATAGACCAAGCTGAAGCAGACCCCCAGCGAGCCGACGAGGATGGGATGACACCAGTACATTACGCTGCCCAAGCAGGTATAACTCGCTGGTATAACATAAAGACACCTGGGCGTTACTTTTCCCAGGTTTGTGAAATTGGAGGTCGTGTAAGAAGCAATATTGCATCTGTCTTATTTCGAATTTGCTAATTAAGTCTGGCCTTGCAGACCTATTGGACGTTGCTCGGTTGAGTTGCAAAAGAGCTGCAGCGTGTCTGTTTATGAAGTACACTTGGATAGGTGGGACCCAGAGCTGGGTCCTGGTTCTATGCTTGAATAGATTCTGACGCAATAGCCAGGCAACATTCAATGTGTATGACGCTGAGGTGTCTTTATGTTGTTAGCCCAGTCTCACTTTGGTCCCAAATGAGGGGTTTCACGTGACGTCACGTGATGCAAAACCTCAGAATGAAGATTCCGAGGAAAGAAGCGAATAATCAATGACGTTATATACACACATAATCTGATGGGTATGTGCTTTGGCCCTTGAATAAAACATTGTGTTTGATTGGTAGTACAATGAAGTCCATTACTTTCAGGCCAGCATTACAAGTTTATAGATCAGTTTTTATCTGGAGGCCTAGTCTGATGTCAAGACACCTTTTCATTCTGGAAACCGAGAGAGTAATAATTGTTATCCACATTTCGTCAGTTTTTCAATATAACTTTTTCTCTTGAAATTTCGAACAGGACATTTAAACTGCACTCACTGGTTGGTGCGGAGGGCTCGGTGCTCCCTGAACGATTCCAGGAAAAAAGACGGAGCGACTGCCATGCACCTTGCTGCAGGAAAAGGTAGAGGGGAAAGGGTGTCAGTAATGCCGGCAGACAAAAACGAAGCAATCTGTAAAGTAACATGGATATGAACAAACACGTATGGAAAAATAAAGGAAAACCCAAGGAATTCAAATTTTTGAAGTCATAATACATGTAATTCTTTAGTTGTAGGTTTGGAGGGAATAAGTGTCTGGTAGGTTGGTATCGGTCATACCACAGACCGACTTCGAAGCAAGAAGTTTGAATCGTCCATCTGCCTAGTTGTGGATTATATATTAAAGATGTAGGCCAGATTAACAAAATAATTGCAACTATGGAATTCAATACCCAGGTTGTACCCTTTTTATAGTCCAAATTGAAGGTGTGCGCCTGTTATACGTCCAGCTCCACGCCAAAAACTAACCAAACAATTAAATTGGTGTGATGTTTCCTGGTGGATGCCTTATTATCAATGGAGATTCAGATTGAGACCTATCTGGCATGTTGCACACGCCACGAAGTTGTACGACTATCAGCTATAAATAAAGAAGCAATGCCGTGAAGGTTTCATCAAGTTTGTGCGACTCCCCCATTTTCATTTGTTTCACTTGAATGCCAGTCAAGTCTTCGGAGCTATAGATTATAATGTGTTGCAGGTATTGCAGAGGATGTTCTTTGTTATTTTAATTTAGAAACATAATGAATGCACAAAGGTTTACCCACGTTTACTTAGCGATACAATACCATTGCCCTCTAACTCCGCCTTAATGCATAAGGTGTATTGCAATTCAGGATCTTAGCTGCACAAGTAGTAGACTATAAGTATTAGCTGTCGTGCATGATGCCTTCATTTTAAACCGGTTCATTTGATGCCAATTGCAATTTGTAATTTTTAATAATCTTTAATTAGAAACTAGGCCTACTGTATTGCTGATAAACTGAATCATACTTTCAATCATCTTGGTGTTCCTAGGGAGGTGTCCCATTCTGCAGTGGGCGCTGAACAGGGAGCTTTCCTTCGGCGAAGAGTTGGACGTGTTCGGCCGCACGCCCGTACACTACGCGGCCGAGGAGGGTCAGATCACGGCCCTTCGGACATTCGCCAAGTTCACACGAGTGCATCTGGATGCCAAGGACTTCCTCGGACGTACACCAAGGTAAAATGAGGACCATTCCTGCAGATTACGTCACTAGACCCACACGTGAGAAATTATTTGAACAGCACCACATGCACGTACAGCAAAGCTATATTGATTCTTTGCACGCGCGTTAATTGATGCATGGACAGCTTATTTCCAAAGTTTCTGCATTGATAATTTCAATTCTCTCATTTCATTTCAAACGATGACATACGTTTAAGATATTTACAATTCACAATGTCTATGTTGGCACCGACAGACCGATGAAGATCTGCGCTATGCTAAATGGACGCAGGTTACCAAAATGGACTTGGTCGATTTGCTTTGTTCAAAGACTATAATATTCATTGCTACTAAAATGTGTTAAACATGGCGTTCATGGTCAGCGTCTATTTGATTAACGAGCACAATAGCAGTTTAATCCAAGAATCTTTGTTTATTTCCTTTTTTCCTATTAGCAATTTAGCTGAAAGACGAGGGCACAGTGCCTCTGTGCGCTTCCTGGACTCTTGCCTGCAGCAGAGGCACCCTGATGGTGAGGGCGCTCTTTTCGCCAAGCTTACTCGATCCATCTCCAGTCCTGGCGGTCTGAACAACAAACTGGTCCGACGGAACTCGAACAGGCGGAGCGGCAGAAGGAAACACATCTCATCGGTGAGCGTTTTGGAGTCAAGAGGGCGCCCTTTTCGGTTCCCGTTTAAGATTTGGGCGGGTCTTGATTTGTTTGTGGTCTATGGAATATAGCCTAAGAGTCTATAATATGCGTCCAGATTATGCAAACAACAGTGCGTCTTGACCTGCAGATTCTGACCATTCAGTGGTCACCGCCACCTCTATCGTTTCTTCGGTAACACAATGTTGTATGACAAGACGTTTAGCAGCAATAGACCAATCAACAGCTTTGGCCGAATGTCTGGTCTAAATGACGTCACAACTTATTAAGGCCGCTCCGATTGGCTGTTGCGCAGAGTCTCATAAAATGTAATGCACGGATATCAGACGTTCGTAGTGTGGCCTTCCCACGTACGGCCGAAACCATATCCAATATAGTGTATCTCCCAGCCAAAAAATGTCTTTGAGCTTAATACAACCACGCGCGCCGCGGTATCAACATTGCCCACCAATAACTTGTAGACACGGGTAGAAACGTCTTTATGAAATTTCTTTCCAAAGGCTAGTTATCCCGCAACCACGGAGTCGCGGGTGGTGGGGAAGGGAAGATATAGGTACCGGTACAAAATGTATAGGGAACTTGACACCAAATCCTGTCCCATGGTGGGTTCGTTCTTCTAATTGTCCGCTACAAGAATACCAAATACTGCATAACGCGATCGTTATTACAGATACTTTGTTATTGACGTTCCCCTTCTTTTCTGTTCTAATCATGCATGTTAGAGCATCCGTCGATGAGGATCCTTGCAGGAATGGTTTTAGGCAAAATGACTCAGAAACCATAACAAACAAGCAGGAGATACACAGGTCAGGTCAGGCCTCTGCAAGGGCGGATCCAGAACACAATTTTTGGGGGGGGCCAAAAAAATTTTGGTCCCCCCAAAAAGTGTGTCTAAAAAATTACGGCGTGGGGTTCGGGGCCCGCTAGGGCCCCGAAAAATTTTTGGATTCTAGATGCTCTGTGGTGCGATCTGAGGCAATTTCTGACCACTTTAACCAATTTTTTTGAGGAAAAGATGGTGGTGTACTCATTGCCTGCCTTTATTGCGATGTCACATTAAAAAAAAAAATTGGTTTCGTTTTGGGGGGGGGGGGCCATGGCCCCCTTTGGCCCCCCCCCCCTGGATCCGCCCTTGGGCCTCTGTATATCTCGGGTCATCCAGTCAGCAAATAGTTTGCAACACGTTTTATTCTGAATCTGAAAGAAAACATTAACACACACAGACACGTTTGTTAATGGTGTAAATCGAGGATCTTCCTGTGTTTCTCTTCCTTTTTCCTTTGTTTGTACTTAAACTTTTTCGCAACAGCTCTCATTGGTTTTGTACACAACGGAGGTCGTCCTCGATTTGGTTCCCGTCCTCGATTCACCAATGATGTTACTCGTGTGTGTCCTCGATTAACACCATAATCACGCACATCTCTAGTTTCACTTTTGGGATGGTACACATTGATTTGCAGACATTATTGTGAATTTGTGATTCCTTTTCTTCCCAAATTGTATGACCATTTCCAGGTTTATCTCGAAGGCAAGGCGCTTACGGACACAGAGTCCGGCACCACGCGTGAGCCACCCGTGTCGGAAGAGGTCGCCAGCCAGGTGGCGTCGGCGCTGATATCCCAAGTGGGCATCATGGCCATTGCACCAATAGTTCCAGACGTGTCCCTCCATCGACGAATCATCAACAGCCTTTTCAGGAAAATGAAACGATCACCGAACACTGACGACTTTACAGTGACGTTGTAATACTGATGATATAGCAATAAGCAACAGCAATACTAAATGAGACAATTAGGCCCAAAAAAAAAGTCTCCGGTTTCTGGTATGCGCGCGCGTCGCCGTTGCCATGCGCGTCGGCAAAATGAAAAAGTTTTTTTTTCAATACAAGATGATGTCTCAAAACCGCCAAACTCACTGGTTTGACTGGAATCCTGCTGCTGCACAATTTTAACGTGTTTTTAGATGGGGTTATGATCGAGAATAAGCTTTATGTGGCCTCTCTGGACTCCCATATATTTGCACTAAGTTTAGTCGGGCACCATTTGCAGTCATTAGCCGACATTTGAAGCCAAAAAAAAAAAAGCCGCGTCGCCGCACCACTTTTGGGGCAAGCTCCATACCAGAAACCGGAGGTTTTTTTATTGGCCTTGTAGACCTTTCTTACTTTTTGCCACTTTTTTTTTACATCAACTGCACTGGCAAACCATGGAAGGTCAATTTTGCAAAAAAAAGAGAATAGTTATTGGTGTTTCTAAACATATTATTTTGATTGTTGAAAATACAGAGTAACCATATGCTACCAAAGACTTGATGAAAATGCCTTTCTCCTAAATAGCGCGGCTGTTAGTAACTATGCTATATTTGGCAAGACCTGTAGCCAACATACGGCATAAAATGTTTAAGCTTATTGGAACATTCTGTGACTGATATATATGCCCGCATTGGTGGGGAGGGGGAGGAGTTTGCTTAATTCAAGCGAGCTCGCCCCTGCATGGTTTCCAGGCCACCGAAGTTTCCAGGCGACGTATATAACTTAATGTCTTGCTGCCTCGACTGAAGTACCCACGGAAACTGATCTCGGAAAACATTATGCAGCTTCCTGCGTTTCCTGTATTGTAAAGCATGGAAATCCAATCATTGGAATGCCCAATCATTGGATTGCCCAAGGTCAAATACTTAGCGTGTGTATAATAAGGGAAAGTTGCGTAATATTTTAATTCCAAAATTGTATTTCAGAAATGCTTTCCACGATGCATTTCCCCGTTGATTAAAATAATCCATTCACAATATAGAGGAGTATGACTTTAGCATTACAATCGCTCGCCCCACCTTTTAAAGAAAAGCCCCCCCCCCCCTCCGTTTACCCCTCCCCTTCCTCTTCCTCTCACCCATCACTTCTCACCTTACATAAATTGAACTCAATAAACGAAGCTGTCTGAAGTTGCAGGAAAAATATTCTCAACCTTTAATGTGTTTTGCATATTACAAATAAACAAGGTCAGACCAGTGTGACCTGTACATGTTCAGTAAGGAATTCCACTTCTTTCTTTGGTAAAAAAAATAAAGCCACTAAATAGTACCAAGCTAATTAAATGTAAAGCACTACAATATATGGGCAAAACATCATGTTTGGTATGTACGGTTATTTAACATTCTCCCTTTTGTCGTTACACTTACAGTCTTTGTTAAAGAATTATGCCCTTTAATTACAAAAGAAATGCATCGCCCAATATGAATTATATTACGATGATAGTAGTAAAAAAAACACCAGCTAAATAGTCAGAACGAGTGGGGTACAGCTAGTCTGGTTTTCAGACCAAAAGATTCTGACTATTCCTACAATGGTCGCCACGGCACGTGTCCTGCCGAAAATGTCCGTAGCTTACCGAATTCACTTAGTTAACCTGATAATTAGGTTCGCGATAACTCAGGTATTTCCGGGTGTTAAATGGTTTCTACTTACTTTGAAATTCATCAATAATTCAAGGCTTGCGTTTCAGATGTACAACACCAGGTAAGCCTATCTCGATCATAATGTCCACTGAAGACGTGCCTTAAGTGCCTTATGCAAGGGAAGGGCTTTGCTACGCTATGAAGGGTGCAACCAAGTAAATAACTTCTCTTATGCGTGATAAATCCCCTTATTTTAAGGTTCTTCAAAAAATAGTAAGAACTCTCACAGTAGTTCAGGCTACACCGGGAAAAAAAACAATTAATGTGGATCAACATAAATTTCATTTCTCCATTCAATTGTTGGTGGGTTGACCAATGAACTGTTGGAGAAATTCTCATCCAAAGTAGACCACCCTTAAAACGAACATTCCCAAATTGGAAAAGTAGCCATTTCGACAATAGCGCCACTAAGGACCTAATTGCATCCAGAATGCTCAGATTTGGAAGCCCAAAGTCCAGGTCAGAGGTGCAGTACCATAATGTCTTCGATCCCCCAATTCCATGGCTCTTAGAACTCCCTAATATAGGAATAATTTCAATGTATAACAATTATTCACGAGCTGGGCGGGCGGATTTTTGGCCTATTTACTTGGTTGCATCCTGAATGTGACAGTTACCTGAGCTACATGATCTATTTCGAGAAGTCAGGACCGTCTAGTCAGGAAAACCAGACTAGGGTGAAGCATGGAGACTGCAATTCGAAACGGGGATTATACGGTACTTTAAGAGTTGGAGCTTGCTGGTCTGATTGCCCATGACGGTGCGTCTGCAGGAGGGGGTCTTGTCGAAGGCAACCCGGAGACAAACTCAGGCAGCATCCGCGAAACTAACGTGGAAGCGGTCCTCACAAAATGAGTATCCAGCTTATTCTTCAATGCAGTCAGGCGATACCTCTCCCACGGCAGTTTGCGGAGCCTCCTGACCTTCCGTCTCTGGTCCCCTCCCCCATCCTCCTCCTCCTCCTCCTCGGTCATGCTCTCCTCTGAGGACATGTACGCGAGGGTTAACACCTCCTCAGCCTCCTTCCTCTTAGCATCCGGCAGATCTATCGCCCGGAGGCTGCTTTGGCGTCTTTGTAGTTTCTATATGAATCAAAAATGGTAAACAAAAAGAGACTTCTGTTTAATATTCCAATAACAGATGCAACAAGGTGGAGAGTGAGCATTACTCATAAGAAAATCAAAGCTATAAATCCAGCTAAATCCGAACTAATTATGCAGGGTGTATAAAAATAAAGGGTAATATGTAAAAGTTATTAACTTGAACACTGTCAAAGTATAGCTCAATCTTAAAGGGTATACTTCATTAGCTTTTCATTGATATCTTATTTGCATCTCTTCGGTCACGGAGAATCACCCTTTATAGATGTGATGAAGTCCACAAACCTTTACATATTCAGCCATTACTTTTGGAGTATACCTTTATTTTGATACACCGTGTATGTCTATCGTTGAGCCTCAAGTAACCCAACGACATCGCCATAGGGACATGAGTGGTGGTATTTTTAAGGAAAGGTGGATTTGTTTCTGCACTCAGTAGGGGACGTTGAACAACAGAGGACCATAGGGTCCACAAATCCCAAAAGTTCCCAATTTGGTGATCGTGCAGAGTATGTAATTGGGTCCCCAATTGCAGGCAAATACACACTTGTGCGCTGTGTGTGTGTCATGGCATTCCAGGTTGTTGAGATTACAGAAGCCCACACCTTGACCACAGGCACGTTTGAGTATTGTTCATTCTCATTTCTTTTAATTTGATATATAATCTGCTCCATCAAAATAAAAGATAAAGCAGAAAACAATGAAGAAACTTCAGTAACACATACTGGAGATTTTTTTTACATCGTGGAATAACATAAATCATTAACATACACTTTTTTTCTATAGCGCACAATCGGTCATAACCATCTTTTGAATGAAAAAATAATACTTTTATCCGACATTCCCCGCTACCTTTCACGTAGTGTACTAAAAGGGGGCAAACTTTACCCGATACTTGCGACTCCGTTTGCGTGCATCGTCCGTGTGTTGTTTGTATGTCCCCTGCTCTTGTCGCCTCTGTTTGTCTTTTAGGGAGGTGAAGTACGTCTTACAGGCTTCTGAAACATGTAAATGGTTGACAAATGTAGGTTCATAATCATGACAACAAGAACTACCGAAAATAGGTCACTATAGGGAGGCATTCCCATAGACTTGTGCACAATTGTTTTTACAACTTAAATGACCCTAACCCCGATTTTACCTTGGGAGAACGAGCAATTGATCAATTAAGCCTATTTGTGACGATATAATTTGTCTCTAAGTAAGACATGTGACATTAGGGTGACATATTGAATTGTTATATACCTCTCTTGAATACTGTATTTTCATTGGCCTAGAACGATCACGTGTTAAGTTTATTAAAAAAAAAGTCATAGCACACTACCTGTGGGATATCACGTACGTGATATCCCACAGGGAGTGTGGGATATGACTTTGCACGTACGGTACGTACGGTGTGAAACGCTTGTATCGTTGGTACCCACGATATTTTCACCATGTTTTCACTTATGAGTGGGAGCAGCGAACTAGCAGACGATCAGCTGTTTCGAGCTCGGTACGCGACATGCATGTGAGTTGACGTTCGATTGTCCTGATTGTTGTGTTTACTGCTGTTTGTTTTCGTGTGTTTACTGCTGTTTGTTTTCGTGTTTTCAAAGTACAAAGAATCAAAGACAGAGGTATAACAAAACAATTGTTGACTGTTGTGATGTGGGATATGACGTTTTGAACACCCTTGAGGTGCTATACGTCCCTTGGGTGTTCAAAACGTCATATCCCACATCACAGCAGCCAACAATTGTTAAATGTCTCCCTAATGTCTTGTGTCTTCCTAAGGTATAATGTATGACGACAAAATGTCTTGTTAATAATACCATTAACAGGTGTACCCTGTATGACAATTATGTGAATATATCCGTCTGTCTCTCTTTTCCTTTGTAATCACATTCACATCTAGTTCTTTTTTCTTCTTCTGCTTCTTCGTTCGTTTTTTGTTAACAAATCCCGAAAACTCTCATAACAATGAGAGACCATACACGAAGACTTCCGGTGTACACTAAGTTTTGTTGCGCTTCATGAATGTATGGAATTTTATTGCAACACAGAACATTTTTTTTCAGTCAAACAAGGTGTGCTGTGCACTTACTTTTGATTTGCTCCGTGGTCCATCTCTCTCGCCCATGCGTAGACTGGACTTTGTGGATAAATTGAGAAATCACCCCTTCGTTTTCTGCACTGCTTTTCCTGAAATACGTGTACATTACTTTGTTATAAAGATGAACGTGGAAGACTTATTTTTTTCATTTATACGTTTCGATACTGCATGTCTAAAAATTTACTTTAGTTCATACACCATTATCGTCCTGCATGTTTTTTTTACAAATGGATGTTGTGGTCGCGTGATGCCAACTAATACAGCAAATTTAGTGTTCTCTTAAGGCCAAAAAAAAAAAGTAATCGGTCTCTGGTCAGCGCGCGCGTCGATTTTAATCATGCGCGTCAACCTTTTTTTCCCCCAAAATGTTCCGCGGTAGCTCCAACAGCGCCCTCTATTGCCGCACCTCCTAAATTTTTTTTTTACCAAAGAGCACCAACTTAAAGGAATGGGAAATTGCACCAAGGCAAATGATCGAGGGCACCAAGGCAAATTATGGACACCAATGTACATGAAGACACCAAAAAAAAGCAAAATAGTGCCCCACCTTTTCTGTACAATCCAAGCTTGAAAAAAAAAAAAAAGCCGCGTCGCCGCATCAATTCCGGAACTTTGGTCTGACCAGAGACCGAATATTTTTTTTTTTTGGCCTAATCTGCATTGCATTAAGTGGTGACATGCATAAACTGTTTTAAGTGCATGTGGGCAAAAGAAAAAAGATGCTTCTGGGTTGCATGTCGATTGCCCGTTGTAACAAAATTGTTCGATTCTGAAAAAAAATACTGCAACTAAGTAAAACTTGCGTGATCCCCCTGGCATGCTGGCATTTTGTATACAGGCCTTTAGTAAGGATAATTTTCAGTGAACCTATCCAAAATGGAATTATACAGTCCCCATTCTGTGAAGCTATACGGGAACTTTTACTTACAAAACAATAACTTTCACGACACTAGAGAAACAAAGTGACATAAATCATGGGCTACCGAGGACCAAGGCCTGCAGAGTACCGTATTTTTAACCCTGGAGGTCATGACCTGTTGCCTGGGTCTCATCACTTTACCAGGGGATCTACCCGATGTTCCACAATACCGATGTTCCCCACTACCGATGTTCCCCAAAATCCTTAGGATTAGGGTTAGGGTTAGGGTTAGGGCTAGGGTTAGGGTTATATTGGTAGGGATTTCGGGGAACATCGGTATTACGGAACATTGGTATTGGGGAACATAGGTATGCACCCCTTTACCCGATACCATAACCACAGATTGGTCGAGATTAATGAGTGAACTTACAGTAAACCCAACCACAAAAATGGAACACATACAGACACACAGAAGGAATACGCTATTGCAATATCCCCCTCCGGCTTACAGGGGAGGGGATAAAAACAGGTTGGCTATAGTTAAGCAGAATCTAAATTAGCTTTTACTGGTGAAAAATGGGGGGAAAGCTCCAAGTTTAGCTTACATATCGTAAAAATTGAATCCATCATCTCCGTCCTTGAAGAGCTCGCCATAGACTTCACGGACGGCATGCTAAAGTGGGGGAAAAGGTCTCTTTTTAATATGTTTCCCTGTCGAATATTAAATTTGTGATGCTTATATGAGACTTAGTATATCAAAGATGATAAGCTTTGCTTTTCCACTCGATGAGTCTTGGGAGGGGGGCAGAATCCCTCTTTTTTTGGGGGGGGGGGATCTAGTTACCCCCTCCTTTCAGTTGAGCTTATCAACGCAAACATGAGGATATAATTTTTTTTTAGGAATGATTATTTCGCTGTAAGTTGTACAGTTTAAATACTGTAAGTTGTGTTAAGGGTCCATGAAGTGAATTTTAGGCCGAGGAACATAATTTTGTGCAACTTTCTACTCTTATGATAATTATTTGACATCCCTTTTTGGTTAATTTTATGGAAAAGCGCACTTCGTTAAACATTACAATTGTCCATACTTTTTCGGACAACCGAGGGCGCTGTTGCTGTGATATCGTTTCAGGAATACACTGTTCAGTCTATGGGGCTTTAATTCTGTTCAAATTGTCAACTCAAACATTTTGCTAATTGAAAATATCTGTGAGAAAAGTTTGCTCACTGGCTCACAACAGCAAAATATCCACCCAAAATTCTTGCAATTTCTGAAATAGCTGTGTAGATTTCTGCCTGAAATGACATCACACTTGTGCTCATGAATATTGAATTTCGCTTTAGCATAATAACCAAAAAACAGGCACCAAAATGAACTCACAAAATTGTAAATGAAAATTGAAAATAACTTAAAGTGGGACACAAACTAAGGTACATTTTCAAGGATTGCATTATAACAATATTATATTACATGGCCCTTTAATGAAACAAATACTGGAGGATGTTTAAATGATGCAAAACAAATATAATAAATGTATTTTAAAAAGCAAGAAATTCAAACTTTTAACCCCAATCAATAAATTGTGAACTTTACCGAGCATTGAAGAGGCGCAATGACACGTCTTCCCTTAGATTTCACTCCAGAAGTCTCAAGACGTCTCCCCATCGCCTGCAGTTCCTTGCTCTGTTTCTGCAGCTGGGCCTCCAGTTGTTTATTTTGCAGATAAAGCTTCCTCAGAGTTATTTTCGAATCGGTTTCTTCAGAAAGCTGAAAACATCAAATGAACCATCAAGTTTGGATGGTTGTTGAATAAACTAAACCTATGAAAAGATTGTGTTATAATATGACAACTGTTAGGAACGGGCATCTCCCTTCTTGTAATTTTTCTTGGCCGACCAACGACGGGTTTAATTGCTTTTTGGCACGTTATTAAAGATTAATGCTTATTACTTCAAACTTTCGATTTTGTAACCTTTTTTTTTAATTTGTAGTTATTGAATAAAATGTGGATTGATTATTTCTAACAAACAAAAGGAATATAATACAGAAAATAATGCTGATAAATGAATTAAATAGATAATCAAGTTAAACAAAAACATTAAGGTCTATAACAAAAGGCATATAGGATTATTTGCTTTTCATGCATTTGGTTCGTTTTCAATATTAACATCACTTAAAATCCAAAGAAGGATGTTTAGAACTATAACCTGTTGAGGTATCAGGCCGCTCAGTGGAAATTATGACACGCACTTTTAAAAACACTGGGACAAATCACTACAAAGCACGACGTACGGTCATTATTATTAACACTCTAATGTATTTCCAAAAATCAGTCAATATAGTCCAGAGGATATGTGACAAAATATCGATGAATTGTGCACTTTTGCATAAAAGCGTGAAACTTGGCACAGATGTTCATATTCATGCCAGAAAATGTTTTAGATGTGGAGCGGCTGGAGCCATCGCAAATTCACCCTTTTAGGGGCGTGGCATCCATTTAAAAAAGGGGCGGGACTCATCACGCCCGCAGTGAAAACGGTAAGCAGGAAACTTCGCAAAGACATAATTATATAGATTATACGTGTTTTCCAGATTCGGAGTCACCACAAAAATACCTTTTTGGGGCGTTGCAGCTATTAAAAAGGGGGGGGGGGTAATTATTATGCCCACCTTGGGAAAAATTGTGCCCACTTTCAGGAACGAATAAAACGTCCCACAGACGATTATATTCATGAGGAAAAAAATCCAGATGTGGAGCCATCTCGAATACACCCTTTTAGGGGCGTGGCAACCATATTAGAAAAAAATGGGGGGCGGGGTTTTCATTATGCCCACCAAGGACAAATTGTTCCCACGTTCATAGAGAAATGAAACTTTCCACTTTCCAATTATATTCGTTCATGAAATATGGGCACAATTTTTCCCAATGTGGGCATAATAATTACCCCCTTTTTTAAAGGCTGCCACGCCCCCCCCCCCCCCAAGGGTGCTTTTGTGGTGGCTCCACATCTGGAAAACACTAACAATATATTTAAAGGGAATATACAACATTTGCAAACATCGACAAATAAAACTACCAAGTTTTTACGAAATACCTTAATAGGATGTTGGTAAATGACAATCAAAAGCATCCTGTCAAATTATGGCACCTGGTGTGAAGTCATTTTCAAGAAAATGGTATTTTTGTATACGTTTCCAGCGGTGGTCGGCCGACCACCGTTGGAAAAACCTAACTATTTTGCAACTACTGCTCCAAATTTACCATTTTTTATTCAGTTCAAATTGTGTTTGCTATTGGTTACATATTCATGAACGGGTGTAGGCCAGGTAGACTTGTTCTCTTACCTTACAGTTTTCTGGCATCTGGAAATTGATCCATTTTATCTTTAGTGGAGTCAGGGAACCAGACTACTTGAACGTTTTTGTTTTTCTTGGTTTTTCCAGCATTTTCGAACAAAAAACTTCAAACATGGCACTATATAACAAAATTTGATTTATTATACTAACCCCTTAAATAGTTCATTTCTGAAAATTGCAGCAAAAGCCAATGATGTACATTCCCTCTAATCATGTCTTTGTGAGTTTTCCTGCTTTTGTGACAAGTGAGAACAACCGTTTTCACTGCGGGCATGATGAGCCCCCCCCCTTTTTTTAACGGCTGCCACGCCCCTAAAAGGGTAAATTTGCGATGGCTCCACATCTAAAACATTTTCTAGCAAGAATATAAATATCTGTGCCAAGTTTCACGCCTTTATGCAAAAGTGCAAAAAACAAATTCACATATCCGCTGGACCAATATTGACTGATCGTTGGAAATTTCTTGATTTTTCTAAATGACAACAAGACTGACAGAACAATTTCACGGGGTGTTTAGTTTCAGCACGATATTTAATCTAAGGAAGCTTTTGATAACAATTTGGTAGGGATAATCATGGGGATAAATCGTGCCTTTAAAGTACATGTATCTCATCTCACCTCTGAATTGTTCGCAGACGTTTCCCCTGACGTGCCTATGCGTTCTGAGATCGCAGACTCCGCGTCCGAAGAATCCCGGCCAGTGTCCACACTAGTACTACTACTATCCAACGTGTCCCGTAGTGTCGGATTTGTGCACATAGTAGACGGGCCAGGCTGTCCCTGATCTTCGTATGAATCCTCCAATTCTGCAACCAGTTCAGCAAGTCGAAAAAGTCTCCGTCGAGACATATGTCTTTGGCGATTCATTTTGTACAAAGTAGAGATTTTTCTTCGTTGGAGTCGGGGTTTTTTTTCACTGCAGATGTAAACAAATGTGAACCGCGCACGTTGCCTGTAAAGGCTGTAAAATGTCGGGTAGTAAAAATGGCGCAAAACAACCAAGTCAACCCACATATGAATAGACTGATCAATTGCCAGAGGCGGCTGCATGCGGTAGTACATTCTTTTATAGGCATTCTTTTCATGAGACCCACGAGTGATTGCGTGAAATTTGATGCCAAGTCGGTTTGCCTTGCCTGGAAACTAAAGGTCATGTAAACTCCGTAGGTACCCCTGTTCACCCATTCACCTATTGAATCAGCAGTCGGCACTTGCCCGACAACGAGTTGTAGACTGAGGTTCACCCAGAGACACCTGTGCAACGTTCACTGCTGAGTGTTGCGATAACTTTTTTTGTATCAAATAATTACACCTAGAGGATGGAAGTAGGCCCAAATTGTGGTGCGCAGCCTTAAATTGTATGTAAGTAGTTGCATTCCTTTATTTTCGTCAACTTCTTTTTTTATGTTTCGGGTTGAGTGCCATGGGGTTGTCCGAGGCCGATTATTACAAACGATCCAAGGACATTTATACAGACCCAGCGGCATACACAATGTTATAATAATATGCATGACATAAAAACCATCACATTAAATCAATCTTATTCACAATTGCTCCAAATTCATGCAGAAATGGTTTGGAAAATCATATATTACGGAGGAATAAAAATACAGTACGATGTTACGACGAAGATGACGTTGCGCCTCTGACCAGTGGCGCTGGGGGGGGGGGTGCGGGGGGGGGGGTGCCTTTTCCCCAGGTTTTTCTCTTTCCTCCACCCCCCACCCCAGTTTGCCCCCCCCCCGGCCCCATACTTATGTTGTCTAAATAGAGATGACTTATGTGACTTCGCTGTTCAGAAAGTGGTTGTAATTACACCCTGCTATTGCATTATTTGCGCCTTAGCTTCTGAAAATCAGATTTGACTATCCACCCTTCTTTTTCCCTACTCCCCCCCCCCCTTGTAGATACCACGTACTGCCTTGCACCCACGGGTTTTGTTTCAGGAACGACTTTTTTTGCCCTTGACATTTTCCATCACAGAAATGCAAGGAAAGCGCAAAAGCTGCCCGGCCTGCCTGATCAGTTTCTCAAGGAGAGCTTACTTTTACCACAAAAATAAGTACTTCGTTGGTAACTCATGGACGTGTGCCAGCAGACAGGCCGCTGTTCTGACCGAGGCCAATCAACCACACAAGGTAGGACACGTTCCTTTGAATTTTATTACATTTAAACCTAGAAAGTTCCGGCAGAAAAGAAGAAGTAGTAAAAGAAGAAAGAAGGAAGATCGCATGTCTTAATTTAATTTTCGCAGTATTGACTAAAAACTGTGCGTTTTAATGAAGTTGGTCTTCTGTTTTACTTTGATTAACTTATACCGATTTCAAATTCGAATTGAACAGGATTATAACGATATGTATACAGGCATTATTTCCTTCTACTAGTGATGTAGTATATCATATTAAAAGCCATTTTCGGATAAAACATAGAGGGAATAGTAGAAATCTTGCAACAATTTACAAATGTGGCTTTCCGTGAAGAATGTGTGTAGACCGTACTGTCACTTGTGACAGGTGGTGTACATTTGTCACTCTGCCTGCAAGGTCACGCACGTCACTCTCTCCCCCCACCCCCTCCACCATCAGAATGCCAAGATTACGATTTTACCACGGCACAAATGACCTCATGGAACGGTATATAGTACTCCCAGCTATTCTTACTGATGAGTGACCAGTACGCCAGCTCACCTCAAACTTGACAATTTTTTAAAGATCCAATGGCAACAGAGCTTCTTTAAGTCACTCGGGTGTCGGTCGGTCGGTTGGTCGGTCTGTCCTCCTAACGATTGACCAAAAACGAACCCCATAAAACTGTCAGTACCAAATTGTAATTGTCCAAAACAAAACACCCAAACAAATAGATGAAATAGTTCACAAAAATTGTTTGTAACAAATTGTGAATTTGTTTCTGAAAACTGTGTACATGGAGGGAAGAAAATGTGGTAAATGTAAAGGTCACGTGGTATGTAATGCGCTAGAAACTTAACACGCCTGAAAACGTGTTTCTTCGTTCATGAGACCGCAACATTTTCGCGCCACTCGTGCACCGGGCGGATGTTAACAGGTCAAATTGCCGGATCAGATCCACCTTTTGCGTTCCCATCTGATCGTGATCCGGCAATTGCCGGATCTGATCCACCAATTGGGGGATCTGTATCCTGGTCCAGAGGTGGATCAGAAAAGGTGGATCTGATCCTGATCCACCTTATAACGGTTAGCGTTCCCAAAACACACAATTGCCGGATCTGATCCACCAATTGGGGGATCTGATCCGGCAATTTGGCAAAAGGTGGATCAGATCCCCCAATTGGTGGATCAAGTGGGAACGGGGTCTTAGGGGATTCTACACACCTGTGACTATACATCACCCCTGCCTCTGGCCCTGTGTCAGTTACGAGTGGGTGAGGGATACAGTTGCATTATAAAGGTCACTATTATTTTGCATGGTGACTTTCAACAAAATGGGAAATTCTTATTTCAATTTACAATCACGACCCAAGTGAGTAATTGTATCATTTCATGCAAGACTTCCATGCAAGACGGACACAGCTGCGTTCGCACTTGTTTTGTTTCTAGCCACAAAACTGGGGGCCGGGGGTGATTAAAGGCCCATCCATCCTTGGTCAGAAATTGGGGGATACCCCCCCCCCCCCAAGTAATTACGCTAATGGTGAATATAATAGCATACATGTAGTATTATTGAGAAAACAGAGACAACTTGAGGTCTCGTTACTGGATAGCGTTGCTGAAGGGTACTTGCTGAAGTCGATCTTTGTCTGACTCGGGAAATTCTAAATCAGAAGTCGCAGAAATGACATTGCAACAATCCCCCTCAGTGTTCCGGAAAGCCATGGAAAATGTAACGTTTAAAAAAGTGCACTTTTCAATGAAAATTAAAATTGAACAAAAAAGGAACGTCTCACAGTTTCAAACATTTTAAGAGGAGTAGAAAATTGTACAAAATGTATTCCTGAGCAAAATTCAGCAGTACCCTAAACCAATCAGAGTACTGCTCCGCCGAAAGTACAAATCCTAGAACGACCAGTTCAATCAAGTACACTTGGCACCCTGTACTTTCCCGTCATCAGTCACCTTGTGTAGTCATGGAGGGAAAATGCCGCCTTTGCCTTCGTTTCAAGCTAGGTTGTAGATGTTTTAATTAACTTCTCAAAAAAAACACGAAAAGTAATTGGTATTTAATTATTCCCTGTCGGTTATTTATGTGCAAGCACCACACATCAGGACGTTTTTTTTTTCCGACCGAAAATATCGGTCTGACTAACTGTTTGTTTTGAATTATCAATTTCTTTCCTGCGACGTATAACAGCATTAAAATTCGATTATGTCATTGAACATACGGTCATACAGGCCTGATAACGTAACGGCCGTTGGCAAATTTATGATTGAAGATAGTCACGGTGAAACCTGAGTTATAGCTGTATTCCTCTATTCGCGTTTGGAATAGGCTACCTACAAAAAAAAAAAACCCGGAGCTGCTGAAGTGTGCCTGGTTCTGATAGTTATTTCAACCGCCCTTCTTTAAAGGGAATATACAACATTTGCAAACATCAAAAAATAAAACTACCAAGTTTTCACGAAATACCACACTAGGATGTTGGTAAATGACAGTCTAAAGCATCCTGTAAAATTATGGCACCTGGTGTCAAGTTATTTTCAAGAAAATGGTATTTTTGTATACATTTCCAACGGTGGTCGGCCGACCACCATTGGAAAAACCTAACTATTTTTCAACTACTGCTCCAAATTTACAATTTTTTCGGTCCAAATTTTGTTTGCTATTGGTTACATGTTCACGAACGGGTGCAGGCCAGCTAGGCTGGTTCCCTTACCTTACAATTTTCCGACATCTATAAATTGATCCATTTTATCTTTAGTGGAGTCAGGGAACTAGACTACTTAAACGATTTTTGTTTTTCTTGGTTTTTCAAGCATTTTCAAACACAAAACTTCAAGCATGTCACTTAAACAATATTTGATCTATTTTACTAACCACTCAAATAGTTCATTTCTAAAAATTACAGCAAAAGCCAATGATGTACATTCCCTTTAAGTTGGAAGATGAAGGTAATCATTGGCGCTTACTTTGATCTTCTGCAGCGAGCTCGAATGCCATATATTTGGGGTGTTATCTGGGGCAACAGTTTTGTTTGCTTGACATGCTTTTTAAAAAAAGGTCCTCTTGAAAAAAACCTGTTTCACAAGCGGCAGGTAGCCTGAAGAGGATCCAAGTGTTCTTTTCGGGATTTAAGACTTCCTGCAATACCGTTGAGGGCGGTGTAGGCCTACTTCGTATGCAATTGGCTTCAAACCACGGATCCTACACACAAGGCCAAGGATGAACAACTGTTCTGAGCTCCTGTATAAAATGCACTGAGCGGACTTGCCTTAACCATGGCTAGACGCGTGATAACTTGCTGGCATTAATTACCCGTTGGCTTGTAATCGCGATTTTTCCAGGTGTGCCATTTTGTCGGAGTTTTTTTTCGGCATGACATCTAAAACGGAAATATTCATAAAACTGTAAGCAAAACTACTCCTTATTTAAGACATAATAATTGTTAAAAATGGTTAAAATATAAATATTTTATGATATAATAGATGGTATTGTGCAGTTTTGTCGTCAAAGATCAAGTATTTACCCGGGAAATAAACGTAAAATTTCCAGGAGAAGCCCGGTTATCCAAATCTTTTTTTTTTAATTAGGCTTTCATTCAAAAGTTTTTGAGAGATGTGGTCCCGAACCGATGAAACAAAAGCGACATTTCATAGTTCATTTTAAAGCTAAAGATGTTCAGTGCTCGGCGTTAACATGGTTATGCAGTTAGCACTTATCAGAATTCAGTAATAAAGACCAAAAACGTAGGATCGTGAATATTTAAAAATATAATTCGCTGGCTTGACAGACTTCAACACCAGATCACTGCCGCTGGAACAAACTTTTGCCAGGGGGTGCAGGAATAAAGGACGGACAATGCGAAAGCGGAGCGCAAAGCCATTACGTCGTGGCTTAATTTGGAATATACATGCTCTGTGGTGCAATCTGAAGCGATTCATGGCCACTTTCATTTGACTTTTTTAGCAAAAGTTTTTTTTGAGATTATAAAGACAATTTATTTCATTATTTTGTTTGCAATATACTGTTGCCCTTAAAACGTAAACTGTACTGAAAAGTGGAGAACC